GCCTCTAAAATTATCTCCCTACAAATTACTGCAGATATGGTGGTAGAGTGAGCTTCTTCTGCATGTGGAAGAACAGAGAGATAAAGGCTGGGAGGAGATGTGCTAAATTTTTATTTTGGCTCATTTCAGGGGTGCCTCAGCTCTGGCTTGTGCTTTCGTGAGGGGGGAAAACTGGATATTTGAAGAGCACATCATTTTTAACATTTGTATGCAAGAATAATTAGAAGTAAAACTATCCATTTGTTCAAAACTCCCCATTATTTCACATTAAGAGTAGTCATATGGGAACATGAATGATGGCAGTTATATCAGCAGGGTTACACTGGACAGATTTCCCTATGATAGATCAAATGTATGTTTTATCACTTCTTGTTAGCGCTGCAAAGGAAATAATAACAAGGAAATATATAAAAGGGAACAGGACATGAGTTTGAAGGACAGAATAAATAATACAGTTCTAAAAACAGATCCATATAGGATGCCTACAAAAAAGTTTTGGAAATGTAAGCAGGTAGAGGCAATGAAACGTTAAATTCCATAAACATTTCAGGCAAGAAAATCCCACAGCTGGGTTTATGGAAAGAATCATAATCTCACACTTCACACAGGAGGAAATTGAGACTATTTCCTCATTTGAAAAGAAGTAGAGCTTGTCAGATTTTAAATTCTGTAACTTTTCATCATTTCTAAAATTAACCAAAACACAGATTGGAAAATTCTCAAAATCATAATCCGTCATTTTCCCTCTCCTTTTGGTTTTGAAAATAATTTATTTCTCAAAATAAAATCACATGGATAAATCAAAAGGCCAGATATCACACTGCCCATTATGTAGAGATTTTGCTAGTGTCCTCCCCTTCCAAGAATCAAAGTCAGCTCTTTATTCTGCCACACTGTATTATTTAATTTCATTAATCACGTAATGGGTGGCAATTACTTAGTGTCACATAATGCTTTACTTTTAGTGCTACCAAAGTGGCATTACACTGTAGTTTAGAAGTTATATTTGTCACAGGGCAATTTATGATGGCTCAGAGTTTTCCATTTATTTCTGAATGCCTTGTGGAACCTGTGAGGCCCATAACAAATATTTTATTAGTGCATTCTGAGGATTTCCTAGAAGTATATAACTGTATTTAAATTATCTATTTGAATCTCCTACATTCGGCAAAAGCCGTTTTATGGCCACATAAATATTTTTCCCTACATTACCATCTGTGAGTGCGCAGACTAGTCAGTCTCTGTGGACAGTGTTTCTCCAACAGGAGCATCCTTTGTGTAGGCCTAATGCTGCCTTTCTGGCATATTAGAGAAATCAGTATTTAGAGTGAGATTGACAGAGATTACTCTTAAGTTATATGATCTGTATCTGCACACATGCAGGGAGAGACAGAGACAGCATTAGGTGGGGGAACCTAAATAACTCTCTGCCATGGCTTCTCCAGAAGCCACCAGAGGAACCACCATCCCAAAAAAGACCCATCTCCTCACACAGGAAGGAGCCCCAGGACACAAGGGCGGGTGGGAGAACACCAATAATGCCATCAGAGAAATGAGATCTCTCCCTAGACTGTAACCAACACCACAGGGGAGCAGTTTCCTGGAGCACCTCCCAGACTGTGGGGTGTCACTGCTAGGGATATGAGACACAATATGGGATTCAGGAGAAGAGTATCTTCGGATTGCACAAAAATGTGTCACAAGATGCTTAAGGGAGGGGGAGATACAGGCTGGAAAAGGGAGGGATACAGCCACTGGGTACACTAAGGCTGCAGTCTTAGGGCCCCTTTGTCCATGTGCAAACAGCTGGGATGCAGGGAGCAGCTACTGGGCAAACTGTCTGATCCAGATCCTCACTGAGGAGAGCCTTACGGTGTACATGTACACATATATATTCCCACTAGGAGATTTTCACCCTGAACAACCAGAGGGGAGCAGGGTGAGGCTGTTGGTGCAGTTTGTGTTTCTGTTAGCACTGTTTGTGTCTGTGCTGGTCTGTGGGGCCAGCCTAACCAATGACCAAGAATTGAATTTGCAAAATACCTAAGAGCTAGAAAATTGTAAGATTGTATGAACTGAACTGTTCCCCTTACTATTGTATTAAATTACATCACACACTAACTTCCTCTAAACCCTTATGTCATTAACTACAGTGGTAGTTTTTTGGAACATCTTTCACTCTTCTCACTCAATATGTAGCTCCAACTCAGCAAAAGTAAAACTATTAGTTTGTCAAGGATAGTTGAGAATATAGCTAACTATCAAGGACAGCTAATAACTACAGTCCTTAACAAACTGTCATGAATCTGCTTTGTAGCCTTGCCAGATAAGGAAATTGAAGACTATCGTCCAGGTTGGAAGAGACCTTAAAGATCATCTAGTCCAACCATCAATGTGGTCCAACTGATACCCTTCAGACTTGTTATGCAAACACAGAAACTATCACTTATAGCTACATTTATTAAACTTAGAAGTGACATTTTATTTTCCACAAGGGCAGAAGAACTCAGAGATTATGAAATTAAAAGTATTTATTTTCAACTAATGGATACAGTATTTGCCACTGTGCAGATTGCCCTTATCTGCAGAATCACTGTCACAATCTAGAAAAGAGACACAGGTGATCTGTGAATACAGAAATAATGCAAATGACTGAGACTGCTTCATTTCTATAAAGAAGGAAAAAGCTGAACTACTACCAACAAGAAGTAATTACTGGTCTTCAATTTCACAAACACCCTTTCACCAGAATCTTGGCTACACAATCCTATACTATCTGAAATTGTTTGAAGAAATTATTACAGCCAAAATGACCTTTACCATCTGAAAGCATTATTCTAAGCACTTGTTTCACATTGTCTATGTCCTTCGAAATAAGACTTGTAATAACTTTCCAAAGAGGTGCATCACTCCCCTACCTTGAAATTTTGCTTAATGAGGCCTGTCATAAACAGGCTCAACTCCCAGGGCTTTTTGCCAGCCCTCTCCTCATCCTAAGTTTTCATCTGCACCTGCCAAAAGTTTGATTTATTTAAGCATAATCCTTTTTTTTTTGTGTAATCACTTTTCTGTGAGCAGTCATAAAGATGTGTATTATAGCTCAATTTACCTCAGCATCTGTTTTTAAGGGTTTTTTAAATGACATTTTAATGTCATTTTTATGTCATTTTTAATGCACAAAAGGGCCTTCTGATAGTGAGGATGACACAAACCTGGCTATGACGCAAGATACGGAATGGATCTCCTGGCAGCCTTGATTTTTGCTCCCCATCTTCCCCATCCTTTCTACAGCCAGACACAGTTGTGTTCAAAGGGCTAAATACTAATTGTGTACTTGTGGCTTACCTTAAACTCTTCTGATGGCTTTGGTGCAGCAAAGGGCAAGCACAGAGAGAGGTTCCCACACTCTGTGCACATACCCAGAGATGAAAGTCTCTGAGAAATGCCCAGTTTTAAAGCCTTGTCCCTCCTGCTCTGTGTATGACTATACATGTAGGGGATAAAGAAGCAGTGTCTTTGACCATGTAAAATCTCTGAATTCTTGCTTTCATTTGTCCACAGCTATTTCTAGAGACAAAAATATCTCCTATTCTAAAGCTCATCCTAGATGCAACGCTAAATGGGCTCTCTCCTACTCAATGAACGAAGCTGAAAATACTCTGGCCGTGAAGCAATACATGCTATCTACTGAAAGTGCCCATTAATAGCTTACTTGTCCTTCTCCTTCCATTTTCACTTTAGAATGAAAAAAGGAATACAAATTCTCCAGATTTATATCCCTCTCAAAGTCCAGTGATGCCCCTTTCCCATTCCCTCTTCTTCCTCCCCACAAATTATCAGATATACATCGAAAGAGTGTGTGGTCAATTCCGCTACTGTTACCTGCCCTGAGCAGCACTGGTTCCCCCTGCTTGTGGCACAAGCACATACTTATACTAAAATGCCCAGGATTCTGCATCTTTCTCTTAGGCTGCAACTTGTTTCTTCTCTACTTTTGTCATTACCCCTCTTGAAATAGCGGGAGGTGCTCTGCACAGGGTGAGCAGAATAAGTGTGCATCCACAATGAGGCAGTGGGAGCAATCACTGCTACTCTGTCACCTCCTGTTCACCAGGAGATATTTTTTTCTGCCTTACCAGGGAGCTCTTCTGATTTCATTAGTGAGACAGTAAATGAGCTAAGTCCTAATAATCAGCCATCAGGCAGTCCCGCACCCCTGTACGCATTTGGAACAACTGAACACAAAAAGGTACCGGTGAAAACAAGTGGTGTGTGAACTAAGCACTCAGTAACAATCACACCAACACCCAGGGGAGAACATCCTTGGAGCTCTGAACAGAAGGTCCTCTGAAAATCCTGAGGATCCATGAGATCCGAGTTATTTCTAAAGGACAATTCTGTTCACAACCACCCCTCCGAAAGTGTTGCCGTAAAGTTCGTCACATTTTATTACAAGGTTCTGTTATCTCTATAATCACTGAGGACATCGTTTTGCCAAGATCCCCGTCTCACTACGATAATCTCTTGCGCATTGATCTCCTCTCTGCACCGGCCTTTATCTCGCCAAGTCAGTCTCCCCCGGTTTTGTCTTTCCGGTGCTCGCCACCGATGCCCGCGGCTCTGGGGAACGAACACGTTAAGCGCTTTGCCTTCAAGTGCCACCTGCAGGGGAAGCGAACACCACCGGCGCTGCCCCCCGCAGGTGCGCCCCGCTCGCCGCTGGGGGCGGCCGCCACCGCGTCCCGCCGGCCTGGGAGGAGCGGCGGCGGGCAGCGGGCGCGGGAGGCGGCTCCCGCCGCTCCTGCGGACACGGCCCCTCCTCCCGGCCCGCCCCGCCCGCCTCACACATGTGCCCGCACCCAGCGGCAGGGCGCACCGTCGGGGCGGGCGGGTGCCGTCGCCTCGCCGACACCGCGGTAGCAGCGCGGCGCGCCGGGCGTCCCTCGGGCGTGGGGAGCGGGCGGCCGCGCTGACAGCGCTGCGCCATGGCTGTCGCCTACCTGCTGGGCAACGGGTCCGCGCCGCTGCTGGCCGGCGCCCTGGAGGTCCCGTTCGCCGCCAACGCCTCCGCCTGCCGCCCGCCCGGGCCGCCCTGCCCGGCCTGGGGCAACGCCTCGGCGGCGCTGGGCTGGAACCGCTCCGAGCCCTGCGGCGGCGGCAATGGCAGTGCCGGCGGCGGCGGGCCCTGCGCGCCCACGGGCGGCGGCCCCTCCGTGGTTACCGCCATCGCCATCATGGCCCTCTACTCCGTGGTCTGCGTCGTGGGGCTCTTCGGCAACTTCTTGGTCATGTATGTCATCGTCAGGTGAGTGCCGCCCTGCCCTGCCCCGCCCCGCAGCCCGCGGCCGCTGCCGTCGGGGCGGAACCCCGCCGCCCGGAGCCGGGATGCGGGACGGTGTCCCGGCGGGGATGCTGCGGTCCCCCTCCGCCGGGCAGCGCGCTGAGGGGTGCGGACGGGCACCGGGCCCCGCGGGAAAGGGAAGGAGGCTTTTGATAAGGAGCTGGAGCGGGGGACGGGGGAAGAGAAACTTGAGGTGGAGCAGTGAGGGGCGGTCGGGCCGTCAGAAGTCGCTGCGCGTCCGAGGATGTTCTAAGGACCCTCCGATCCGAGCTGCCCACCTCTGCGAGTGGCTCTGGCCAACGGGGCCTGAATCCCGGACCTGTCCCCTAAGGAGCGAGGATTTAAAGAGACTGTAGCCACTGCCTGTGAGCGTGTACGGGTACGTGGTTGTACACGGATAGCCGGCACGCATCCACCTGTCTTCCCACCCACCTCTCCCAAATGCACGAACAAAATGTAAATGGCACTGCGGTTAAACGCTTCTCTGTGGCCGTGTTTGGAGATCCTCTACCTCAGATCTAGATGTGTATATTGAAATACATTTATATATGTGTATAGACATACGTGCGTATACACGTGTATAAATACGCATGCGGTGATGCGACCGCTTTCTGTAATCCCGGCGTTCTGGCTGTGCTGCGGCACTTCGCAACTTTCTCGCTCGCAAGAGAAAAAGCCCCCAGTGGGGCTGTTACAAATCAGATCACGCGCGATAAATCCATTGCCCGTAAATGAGCGGAAAACGAGTGAGAGGGAGATGAAAAGCGGCTCCCTTGCCGGCCTGGCCGCGGAACTGGCAGGTGGCTTCCATGGGGGAACACTGCCACCTCCCGGGAGCGACGGGCCGGGAGCGCGACAGTACGGGCCCGAGTGAGCTCATCTCCCTTCGCGGCTGCTCGTCGTTTCCAAACCAAGCATCCCTTGAGCCCTGGAGAGCTCAGCGGGCGCTTTTAAGGGGGGAGATAGAGGTAGCCCAGGAGCGCTCTCCGTTCCTATGGAGGCAGCCATTCCTTTTCTTCCATTTCTCCCCCTCGTCCGGAGCGTCCGTTCTGCCTTTAAGCTCTGCGGGCCCGCAGGAACCGGCGTTGTCTCTTGGCATTCCTGGCGCTCCAGCTGCTTTGTGGCTTTGTGGCGTGTGGGTGCAGCGCAAGCTGTGCCAGCTGTAGAAAGCTGGGGGTGAGGGTCGCGGTCACGGTGGGGTGTTGCAGCAGGATGGAGGATGCGGCACGTGTTAGGTATGTCACTGCAAAGCCTGTGCATCTGGTAGATCCAGTGGGAACACAAGTGATATCCAGAAGTGGTTCTGTCTAGAGCAGTTCAGAAGCCTTGAAGGTTTAACTATGCTTTAGAGGCTGTGTGCGCAGAGCTGGGGAGATTCTCTTCTGTCTTGTGGTTTTGGTCAGTCTGAAACTCAAGCTGGCTATGTGAGGATACATCTGTATGAGGATACATCTGCAGAAAGGCTTCTGAGTGGGGGCATGACTGCAATCACTGTAGCAGTGTTGAGTGCATTCCTCTGGGAGGAAAAGCAGATGCACAGTGTAAGAGAGACAGGATAGCTGTCAGCAGAGAAATATGCTCCAGCTTGTCTCTGGAATTATGTATTTATTATCCTGGGCATAACCCTTACTAGGTTCATATTTCTTACAGTAATTAATTGAATTACACTCGCACCACAAAGCCAAATCTAATAAGGTACTTGTATTTAGATTCCTATCTAAAGAACGGCTCTTTCTCTGAGATGACAGCTTACAAACAAAAGCCAGAAGCAATAGCAGAAAACAAAAATACATTTTCATTTTACAGAGGAAAACAAAAATTAAGTGGCTTGTCTGAACCATCAGGAATTTTATAGCAAACCCCACATCTCCTTTGCAAGAACAGCTTTTGGTGTGACAGAATTTGTTCCCAATTAACACCACACAGCTGTTTAGCAGTTGGGATGACAAGGAATTTACATGCTAATGGCTAAACAGGATCTGTGGCTTGAGCAACATAAAAATACATTCTCTTTCTGTGCTTCTCTGCACGTGTAGTGTATCTGGTCAGCAATATGGAACTTAGTGATTGCACTTCCTGCTGCAAGCTATACTAGCTTGAATGTGTTTCAAATTAGAATTTGAGCCTATGAAATGGTGACCCTATGTGTTCGCAGTCATGCCTCCTTTCATCCAACTACTTGTAAGAGCCCAAAATTTCACTGGATTGAATTTGTCACCATATAAAATTCCCCTTCATTTGCCTTTCCCATCATGCCTGCTCAGGAAGAACAAAACATTGATCTTTAAATTAATTGTGAGGGAAATTGAGGCTACTAAAAATGAACATTTTTGAATAATATTGGTATCTAGTTTGTCTTGAAAATACTAGGAGTTGGGAGGTAGGTGCTTAGATGTTTGAAACTGTCCTGCTCACCTTTCACCCCAGTGAAAGCAGCAGTGACTTCAGATCAAATATGCTGCATGCTAACATCTCATGCTTGGTTTCTTTGTAATAGTTTAAAATAATTATATTATTCCTATAAACATTATTACTCTTTAAAATTTTCCACATGAGGCAAATCTAGGGGTTTGGAGCCAGAACTGTGCAAGTGCTGGCCTGACAAGGAATGATCATTATCACTTGACAATGCCACCCTGCTATCTCTGCTGGGGCAAACAGAGGTCAGAAAGCAGATATGTCCAAGGAGGAGTTGGAAATGTATTGTGATTAATAATGTGAAAAGAAAGCTCTTTGTGCAAAGCAGACTGACCAAATACATTCCAAGATTTCCAGTTTATACACATTATGTTATAGTTAATGTAGTCTCATCTACCCTCATTCTTCCAGATGGTTCCTGTTCAGCTGAATGTTTTCATCCTTGAATTAATATTTACATGTTTTATATGTAGTGTGTGAGTCTTAACCTCATGTTACTAACACTGAAGTGATTCCTTTCTTAAATATCAAAAAATGCCTTTAAGAGACAACATTAGTAGTTTAATAGGTTTTACTGCTAGCCATGAATTTCCTGTAATCTGAAAAAAAATCTATGGAGAATTTTTATTATCTGTTTTCCTCAAGTGCTTTATGTAAGTGTAAATTACTAATATGAATACAATGTTGCTATGGCTATATCAACAGCAAATGCTACGTCTACCTGCTGTGGAGTACAAGAAGACAGTGTACAATTAGTGCCATGTGGCATTCAATTAATTTACACAGTAATCCAAAGGCCTGTGCAGTTTTCTCATTGAGTTGGTGGGATATTATTCTCACAATTAGAGTGGAAATAAGAATATGTCTTATATGTGATTATGTGATTAAGGTAATATGCTAGAAAGCTGCAATAGATCCTAGATGAAACTCTTAAGCATCACAGGTCTGGAAGAGAGGGATATCTCACAGAGTTCCCAATCCTCCACAATCCAAATGCTCTGGGAGAGCTGTAATTCCACCAACAGCCGCTGAAGTCACTCAGGTTCAGAGTGATTCCTCATTTGTTTTGCTAGAAATGTTTCACATACCATAAACAAAGGGGTCTCAGGTTCTCTGCAGTCCTCCCGAAGAGTTAGGAAATATCTTGTTTCATTGAGTAAATTATCACACTGCTTTAAATAAAAACAAAAAAAAGGCAAACAGGGAAAGAAGTCGAAGAAATCCTCTCTCTGAAATTAAGAGAAATCTTTCTATGTGTCTCAAAACAGCCTCTTAATAGTGTTTTGGAAAAAAAGAGCTGTGGCTGAAGTGTCATCTAATCTGGAAAGACTGTGCAGCACTGAAAACTCTGGTTCAGCTGAGTTTACTCAAAATTCAGACAAATTGTTTTATTAGGTAGAACATTCTTAGGGTTGAAATTTCAGTTGTAGAAATAATTTATATCAGCAGAGGAATAAATACTCTCACACATGTGCACAAAAGTGTGGAGTCTTTTTAGAGAAAAAAAAATCTGTACATTATCTCAAGCTTGAAAGTGGGTGAAGTAAAACAAGTATTTCTAAAAAATAGGTTCTTTGCAAGGTGACATGGTGTTATAGATGCTGTATGTGAGGTGACCTTCAGCATCTTTTGTAGCAGCTGAGATCAGGGGGCTTGGAAACAAAGAATTGCATAAAATTCCTGCTTTTCCTTCCTGTCCACAGCCTCATGAACCTCTCTGCATTTGCACAGCATTGCTTGTGTGAGTGTGTGTCCTGCCTGTTCCACTTACTGCAAAGGCTCCATGCCTGTGCTAAGAGCTGAAAGCCTCAGCAGTCTTATCCAGTCATGTCAATTATGAATTAATAGAGTTTCTCACAGCACCAGCCAGAGAAGACCTGGGGACAGAACTGAGGGAGCAGCAGAGGAGCTGAATTAAATCAGCAGCATAGCAAGGGGGTGACCCTCAGCATCCTGCTAGGCAGAAAGGCAGGTGTCCCTGTTTGCATACTGTTTGTGACAGAGTTTACCAACCTTTGCTAGTGGGTAAATGTTTAACTAGCAAGCAGCTTCCCTCTCTCCCCCAAGATGAAGGAAAGCAGACAGATAAAATTGAATGTATACCTTTGTATTCTTTTTTTTTAAATTATGTTTTTACAGACATGATGAAAATTTGACCAAAAATACATGAGGTTACAACCTGGTGGTAACACCCATCTCACTGAGGAAGCAGAGACACCTGAGGGATGAGTGAGAGCTCTGCAGCCCCAGACTCATTTCCAGATCCTGTGCCTGGCCCTGGTCCCAGTGAACTCCTGCACACAGGACAGCGTGCCAGGCCCAGGTGCACAGACCCTCTGGCCCTGCTAGTGCCTACACCAGGCAGTTCTGGGCAGGAAACAACCCTTCTCACTCAAATTGCCTGTAAAAAGCTGTTTGATCCCACTGTATTTTTCCTGGTAATGGCTCTCATGAAAAAAATAGTGTTAAACACTTCCTCTTTTTTAAAAAAAATTCTTTATAAAAATAATCAAAAGTAACTAACCTTTCAAGGCTTCAGTAAGGGTAGAAAGTACTGTATGCACATATTGCTTACATTACATAATTACTAGTAAGCTAATGACTAATGAGCTATTTAGCTAACATAATTGTGAAGTACTGCTTTATTTCATTTTAATTCACAGTGTTTTCCCAAACCATTGAGCATAACTTTTGCTGAACACCGTGGATAAGCTTTTATAGCTTTTCTAGATCAAAAGGTAATATATTTACAAAAATCTGAAACATAACATGGTGCAAGTCCAAATGTCACAGAACTGTAATTTAGCTTACTAGCCTCTTTTCTAGCCATAGCCAGCAGCTGGTGTTTAGTCACAGAGTGGAAAAAATAGGGGTAAAACTTTGTGAGTATCCTTCTAATAGACTTTTAGACTGGAGAGCTGCAGTTTGCATCAGCATTTATTCAGTAGCTTTTTGTGGACATTTCTAACATGCAGTACTCCCCAAAAAAATGAGGATCAAAAATAAGATTGGAAGAAGGTCACAAAGATTGCCACTACTAAACAAAGCTGCTTCCAAACAAACATGAAGCAGATTTTTTACAAACATTTTTACAGATTCTAACTTGGTTATTTTTAAGCTTAGGTGTTCTAAGATGGTTGTTATAGAGATCTTCATTAACAGATATTTTCAAAAAATTATTTATTTTCATTATGATTCCAAGTGAAAAGTTTTCAATGCTTGATAAATCTCTTCAAAATACAAATCCACTCTTGTAACTATATTTTTTTTTTAAAAATCCAAAAGCAACTATTTTCTGAATTGTTCTTAAGCTGATCTCAAATAAAGCTCTTTTTATAACCATCTGGGTCTTCTTTGGTTTATATCATGAAGTTTGGGTTTGTGGTATTGAAAGTGGGAATATTATAATTATCTTCCAAAGACCTTTAGTCCTTTTTGGAAGTGGGCTTTTAATGATCTTCACTATCAAGGAGTTCCACAGCTTAGTCTAGCTGTGATAAGCATTCTCATTTATCTATTAATGTTAAACACTTCTAAATTTTATTTATATTTCCCTTTGAATTTACATGATGAAAAAAAAGGTAGGGATTATGCACCATAGCTAATCAAATAACTGTGAAGGACATGAAATAGATTTTTTCCACCTTCTTTCTGAGAAGTGTTCAATTATCAGCTATAAAATCTTGTATCTCAGATCAGGAGTAAAACTTCAGAACAAAAACATTTGTGTAAAGTGGAACATCTCCTCCTTGTCGTGTTGTGTGGAGCAGTTCCAGCTGAGTGAAGTCTCTTTTTTAAGGGGAAACAGGGAGCAGCAGTTGTCACAGTGCTAGTCTTCAGCCTGGGATGTGCTGCCCCTATAGAAAAATCATCTAAGGAGCTAATTACCCAAACCACTCTCATAAGATTGTGGTCTTAGGAACTCCCTCAGAGCCACAGCTTCAGACACAATCTCATCCTTGTCATGTAGAGGCTGAGTTCATGATTTCCAGTACTTTTGATTCGGTCTTCTCACATAATACATAGCTGTGCTCCTTCCTCTCATGCCAGCTTCCACCATTGCTTTCTTTCCCCTTCTCCCCACATCATAGGCAAGCATTCCCCCTTGTTTTTTCTCTCTCTAGTTCCTTTGTCTCATCTCTGTCGCTCCTTTCCAGATCACACTCAACAGCTTCACCAGAAGATCCCAGTCTCCTGCATGCCAGAGCCATACCTTGTATAGCCAGTGGTACTTGGGTCTGTACAGTCTGTGTATGGCTGGCCTCCAGCCCCATGCCACCTCCCTGCTACCCTATGACCAGGGGGATTGGTTACCTGCTGTTCCCTACCACACCTTTGCGTAATCTCACATTTACTAGCGTTAAAACTGTCTGCAGAGGCTTCCCTGCCAGCTTCCCTGCTGACTAGGGATATTTCATGTGCAGTCCTTATCTCAGGTGATCAGTATACAGATCAGGAGGGGGTACCAGTGCCTGGAAACCAGACAAAGTAGCTGATAACTTGTCCCCTCTAGGAAAGTGTCACCACATTATCTGTTACCAGAGGTATAGTCAGCAGTTTTACTCTCAATCACACTTCCCTGAAGGCAGAGGGGAAAAAGTCAAATTTAATATACTGACAGTTTTCCTTTATATGTCTTCCTAGCAAAGCAAAGCCTTCAACAATAAGCACCTGCTGCTGGATAATGGAAATGTATTGTAGTTAGCCTTTTTAGCACCATTGATTTATTTCAGAGAGGTATGTTACACAATAACCATGAAAGCAGTGACCTTTATTGGAGACCCATATATGCTCAGTCCCAGGCAAACAGAGAGTCAAATAAAAGTGGTTTGACAAACAGGCCAGATTAAGTTCTGAAATAATTGGCAGGTAATTTTCCCCCTGTTCAACTAGGCTGGAAGGGAAGGAAGTGTACCAGCAAATGATTGTTTGGGCACTGAAGGATACTCATTACTGTCATTTGTTTTTTATCATTAAGTAGCTTTTTATGATGTCTGGGAAAGCTTGTTTTATTTTCTCTGTGTAGGGACTAAACTCACTGGCTTAAACTGAGTAGCAGAAAGAAAACTTCTGTATTATGCCTTTCTCACTGGCTTATAAAATCAGGAAGAGCCAGAAAGACAGCAGCAAGTCCTTTTTAGTTCAAAGTCCAACACAGGAAAACAGGATGAGTCAGATGCCCTCACAGCTCCACATAATTTCCCAAAAGACTGGCACTGAAAACTGAAGGTGACTCTGCCTGAAAGAGCACCTTTTTGTTTAGCTCACCCTCTCCTAAAGCTGAGGTATGAGATAAATTCCTGATGGGTTCTGAGTACAAGCAAAATGGCCCTGAGCTGGTGTTATTTCCCAGGTGCTCTGCTTGCTTCTCCTGCATCCTGTAAGCAAATACTGCTGGATCTGCACATGCCTTGGCACTGTCCTGATGAGAAGAAGGGATAAGCTGGGAAATCAAAGATGCTAACAAGGTAACCCGAGGGAAGTAAACTTTGGTGACATTCTAGCCAAATCTCATTTGTACTATGGAGGAGAATAAAGTGACAAAACAGTGGGAAAACAAATTGTTAGGGAGAAAAAAGGTAGCAACTGAAGCAACTACAGTCCAGCAGTGCCCTGCCCTGTGCTCAGGCCCGGACTGACCACATATACGCTCAGACTCCTTCAGAAAATGGACAGCCCCTTGCCAGTGAGTGAAGAAAGGAGAGAAAGCTGCTCCAGAACAATGTATGTGAAGTATGATCAAGTAGGTATTAAACCACATGACAAGTCACAGCAGTGAATGGGTAGTGCTGTGCTGGGAGTCAGGATGCAGGACTTTAACAGGAGGGAACAGCAACAGCTTCTGTCTTTCTTAAAGGCAGTAAAAGCTTCCTCACTTCCCCATTTCAGCTTTTACCCCCAAACTCGGGATGGGTGCAGGAAGTAAGTGAATGTGATGCAAATTGCACTATTTCATTGTAACCAAGTGTGACTGTATTCAGCTCTATTATAACTGCTTAAGGTTTTCTTTAGTTTTTCAATTTGTTCTTGGTTTGGTTCACTCAGGGCGTACTATGTTAAATTACAGTCTTGTATAAGATCTCTTTAGTAGAATATGCATCAAAAGGATGCAAAGGTTGTTAACCACAAGATGGCACCTCCAATATGAGTGGCCTTACTGCCTAATAACCTGTCAGGGTTGTGCGCAGATTCATGGTGCTTATAGCCAGAGATGAAATTAAATGGCTTAAGGAATAAGCATTCAGAAGTATCCATTAAAATCAAAGACTTAAGTTTTCAAGCTGATTAAATCATGTGCTCACAGACAGGAAGGTTAGACCTTTCCAGAATATATACGACTTCAAAACTTTTAATAGGTTACGGCCTGCCACAGCACATGTCACAGCTGTGGCTGAGATACAGTATGGGTCTTTCACTCTATGGAGACCCATTGCCATGGGAAGAAAAGGATAATCAAATAGATGGATGTCAGTAAAGTCCGTCATTTGAGACCCTTTAGCTCAAAGGTACTTTCCAGAATGTGGCTTGAGAGACTTTATTTCAGTGTTAAATATTAAAACTGAATTGGCAGACAGAAAAAATTTTCCGGGTTTTACAGATTACCTTGAGTATGTCATGACTTTGTTCAAAGCTTTAAGGGGTCAAGAAAAATTGGAAGTACCTGATATCTCAAGAAAACATGCCAAAAAAATCCCTTTTTCCTACTGTTCTTGAGTTGCATATACAAGGTACATCAGAACAGTCATGGGGGAAAAAATAATTTAAATTGATTCAACTAGGCACGCTTAACATGTTTTTAATCTTCCCACCCAAGGCAACCTCAACTAATCTAATGTATGCACATAATGATTCTTCATTTGTTTAACAAGTCATTTATGCAAGAAGAACATGAATTTGACATGCTAACCTAATCTCCAGCATCAAGAAGAGCTTTCTGTAAGGTTGTCTGTATGCAAGACCTAACTGCTGGCTGTGGTTTCTTTCAGCAGCCAAACCATTTTTGAGAGTGACTGTTTTCTGCAATGAATCTCCAGTGATTTTGTCCAGTTTTTCGTGTATTTTCTGCTGAACTTAAACAGTTCTTGAAGTAGTCATTGTCTCCAAATTAGCATTCTGTAGGCAAAACCTTGCATGCCTTTGTGTTGCTGAAAGTAGTTATTACCAGTCTGTCATCGACCAGCCCATTTCCTAAGTGCAAAAGACTTTCTGCTATCCTCCTCATTGATGTTATTCAGAGGAAATTGTTTTAATTAATTTGTAATGTTATGTATTATTCTGAGCTGCATCATTATCATTAATAATAATGATGATAATAATATAGGAATATAACAATAATTTATCTGTATTATTACTATTATTATTATACTCTGTATAACACTGAGCTAAATGTGGACCTCTCTAGCTTCTTTGCACCAGCCTGCTGGTCCAAAGATGCTATAAAGCTGATCTGGTCCAGGAGGGCAGAAGGCTTTGGAGGAGAGGATATCTCAACAATCCACATGGATGTAAACCTCTTGACCAGGGAGCAGTAGGAACATGACTACATTGGTTGCATAGACTACAATAGCAGTATAAAAACTCTGTGAGGCCTAAATAAGATATGATGCAAACTAAAGATTTCATTAAATTTTAAGAAGCTTAAAAGAAGAGACTCTTTAAAAATATTTGGAGATGGTAATTAAACTATTGGAGCGGACAGGCCAGAAACAGGGCCATGGCAGGTGTCTTTGCAGAGAGTCACAAACATGCTCACATCCCTCCTGTTGCATGAGAAGTGGAAGGGAAGGGGCTCCTGGCTCCTGTCCATGGTGCTGTTACACCTGGGAGCTGGAGTGTCTCTGAGGTTAATCTGGTGAAAGTTTTATTTGGTTTACAAACTACAAGTGGCCCGTGGGCAGATAGATGTGGGGTCCATTTCAGGACTTTCTATTAATCTTTAAATGCTAGGAACACGGTGACAGTCTGAGCTGAATCCTCGCTCTTTTCTCCATTGCTTTTTCTTATTCCAAGCAAATCTCAGTTGAGTGGACTTGTACAGCTCAGGTCTTCAAACTTGAAGTCTGCTTTAAAGCTTTGTAGGATTGAAGTTAAAGACAAGGCTGAGCTTTCCCTAAAAAATTAGGCATAAAGTGTATTCTTGCTGTTGTAAACCTGATTTATCATCTACTATTATCAGCAAAACAACAGTTCAGTAACAGATATTTTATGATACAAAACCTGCACTGAGGAATTAGGAGGAGTATACTAGTAGGTGCCAGTATTATAATGAGCATAATTAATTTGGATATATAACAAGAGCAGTATTGCACTAAATATTCACAGAAAGCCCCTGATTCATGACATTCTATTAGTCTTTTCATTGCAGAGTTGTAAAATAAAACTAAGGCCACCCAAAGCAAACTTCTGTCTTCATTTGCAACCTTGCTCTTTGTTGTGCAGAATTTAATACACCTGATGTTTTAAACACTGAAATTTCAATGTAATCTAAATACCAGTAAGTTTGAATGAAAGTGTGAAAGCAGTATTTTAAAAGATTGCATTTATAAATTTTGGTATTGCATTATAAATTTTGGTATTACTAAGTCCCTCTCAACTGTAGAAATAGCTTCACATATATATCTGTGTCTGGATAATGGAAATGTTTGTTCTGCTTCAAATAGGCAGACTGATACCTTAGCAAAAAGTATAATAACAGCTAAGATCAAGACTTTGAAAAGCTTCATTTTGATTGACTGTTACATTTCATGCTGTTAAAATTATGTTTAATCAATTGCTTTGGTATTTATTTGTTCATGACAAAAATAATCCTAGGGACACTGATAATCTACTTATTAGAAAAAATACATGTTTTACAAAATGTACCTTGCAGAAATAAGCCCCTTCTAAAAAGTTTAAATAGTCTGTACAGAGAAACGCCCAAATCTCATAGAATTCACTGAAAAGAATATTGTGAATTTCAATAGGCTTTTGTTGATTAGGCAGCAGGTGGAGGTAAATATTTTCTATCACCGTAAGAGCTCTGCTTCTATTCATTGTCAGAACAGCATGATTAGAAGTACAAAGATTACAGAGTACATCAAGCAAAATCCTTCACTAATGGTCTATAGAGGCCATTAAACAAAGCAAGTCCAAGAACTTTTAAAATTAAACTGACAAAATTAGATTGCAAAACTGAAAAATATGCAGCATTTAAGTGGGATAAGGCCCATGCCAGTGAAGAAACTTAATTCTATTTATTCGGAGTGTTTTTCTGTCCATCCTCTCTAATGCTAACCTGAAAGTCATTTACATATTGGTTGATGGTTTGGGCTTTTTTGCTGTGTCAAGCATTCCTTTTAAATCATAATGGCTTTAATTACTGATAAGAAAGCATTGTCGTCAGTATCTGACCATGCTCTCCAGACAAACCTGTCCCAGAATCACGTGTGATGGCAGCAGCACTGAGCAGCATTCCCAAACCTGCTTTCTTGTCCAGCTGTGAAGAAGGCAGGCAACCATCTAAGGTCTGAGCAGGGATCAGCAGCCTGGGTGAGCGCACAGATCCCTCGTCACCTTTGCCTGTTTGTGCAGAGCTGAGAGCCACTGCCCCTCTGGGGCAGATCAGGTGGGAGCAAGCTGGATATGTCTGCTCACAACACAATCAAACCTTCAGGTTAGCTCTGGACACACCTTCAGCTACTCCTGGATATCTCAGACCTTTGGACAGATATTCATAACAAAATATAAATCTTGCTGCTTTCATTCTTATCTGGAAGATTCTTCTTCAAATTGCCTGAGAAATATTTTCTCCTCCCTCCAAACATTTTTTAGAGCTGTAGCTTTTATTGTGTACCTCTCCCACACTGCAGTCCTGTATATTTTTTCCAGTGTCCAGAAGAGAGAGTTGTAGATGATTGCAGCATCTACCTCCCCCTGTGTTAGTTACAAACTTGTTATATAAATGCAGTAAGAAAAGCTTTTACAGGACTTTCAGAATATGAAGTTTATTTACAACTTGAAAGTGTCGTATTCAGATCATACTTTCTGAAGGCAGCAGTCAAGATAGCATTTGTATCTACTTGAAAATCTGTTTTTAAAAAACACCCTTAATTGAAATTAGGATTGTTAGTGCCTTCTCATGCACAGTGCTAAAAATGAGAGAACAGATCCCATACCAATGCCTTCAAATGTTCATCATTAAAGCTTTCTAGGTCCATTCAATATGAAGTCTGCATTTCTGCACAACCTACCAAAGAAAAGTTGCAAATGCACATTTCCTACACAATCCTTTCATTGGGATTTTTTGCAACTGACTCATGTTCTGAAGAGATCTCATTCAGAGAGATAAAACCCACTAAACTGTGTATTTCACATTTTGCTTTCCCTAGCAGGTTCCTTGACAGGTCTTTTGAAAGTAGCTGTTCCTCTTGAAAAGTGTTCTATAAATTGTAAAATGTTTGATCAAACACTCTGCTTATTAGTTTTGCAGAAATAGAAGGAAGTTCCATCAAAAGAGCAAGCCATCTGATCCCCCAAAATCCAAGCAGCCACAGGGCCCAGCAACCTCAGCAGCAATCAGGGCATCATGGCCGGAACATTACTTAAATGGAAACTTTTTTTTGTACCACTGCAAAAGTACAGCATCCACTTAAAAAATGGGTCTCAAGTGCTGCCCATTTGGAATGCCATCATTACTACTTCACAACCTAGAAATTCATTTTCTCTTTCTACAGACCATAGTTATGATATTTGGCATGACATCAGCAGGTACAGAAAATCTATCCATGTAGTACAGTATCTGATCTGTAAGCATACAATTTTTTCAGCTTCTATAATAGTATTTAGCATCTATAATATTATTTCTTCTATGTGTACCTTTTCCTTTTGCACAAGTTAATTTTTTTTTCCTTATACCCTTTAGCTGATGTCTGACTAAACTACCAACATGTAGGTGAATCATAGCATGGTCATTTGGCTGAAAGCAGAAATTGTGATCTTTGACAGTATCTAGCATATTATTTTACAGAATCTTCTTATAGATGATGCACTGAATTCTGTTTTATTTAATAATGTCAGTTGTGGTCATTCACATGCTCTGTCAATTTTTTTTCCTAGGTACACGAAAATGAAGACTGCCACCAACATCTATATTTTCAATCTTGCATTGGCAGATGCCCTAGCAACAAGTACTCTGCCATTCCAGAGTGTGAATTACCTGATGGGAACTTGGCCATTCGGTACCATCCTTTGTAAGATTGTTATATCCATAGACTACTACAACATGTTCACCAGTATCTTCACACTCTGCACCATGAGTGTGGATCGCTACGTGGCTGTTTGCCACCCCGTTAAGGCCCTTGATTTCCGTACCCCCCGAAATGCCAAAATTGTCAATGTCTGCAACTGGATTCTTTCCTCTGCCATTGGCCTGCCAGTTATGTTCATGGCAACTACTAAATACAGGCATGGTAAGTCTGGCTTTCATTCCTAAATTGAATACGCAGCATTTCAACTCCTTTCTGCATTGTTTCACTGTAGTGTAGAGGCATTGAATTAACTTCTGACCACTAACCTGTGTAAAGCAAGTATCAGTGCAAATGAGCCCCTTCAACAGTTTTGCACCTGGCTGTAGCTGACTGGACAAGCAGTGCATGTGATCTGTGTTTTACAACAAGCAGCTCCAGCTCCTTCAATGGGTCCATGCAAGTCTTGCTGTCCCACTTGGTTATTGTAGTGTTTGGAAAATCATCTGTGCCTGCCTGCCTTCTGCTGTGGGGCAGTTCTGCATTGTCCTTCAGCACAGGAGTATCCTGTGCTTTACCCAGGATACTCCCACTGGAAGGCTGGCAGTCATAGATATGCTACACCCTGTCTGGCAGCACATGATACAGAGCAGAAAGCATATTCTGGACCACTGGTGTTCCAAGACCTCCCATAAAGGGACAGTGACAGCATGTCAACATAAATCCAGACCCTCCACAGTGCATAGTTACCAAAGCGTCATGTCGTTCTCTTCTCTGTTGCCCTGAAATGCCCAAACTCTCAGCATATATGGTGGCTTTCTTTTCACCATGTTTTATAGTGGAAGTGAAATTCAGTCAAAGTTTGAGTATGTATGACAGTTCAACTCTTTTCCTTGTTTAGTATACATTAAGTTCCAAGTCATAATATGCAAAAGAGAGCATATTAATTTGGTTTTGTTTTCCTAACTCACGCTTCATGCATGTTTTGCAGCACTCTATCCTGGCAATGTTTGTGCAAATGACAGGTCACAGATTGCTTCATTTTACATATTTACTTAGGTGTAAAGTCTTCATATATTTGCCTGTGATATTAATTAAGGAAAGGTTTAAAGAAAAGCAAATTAAAAGCTGACCTGAATGTTCTTCTCTGTTGTTTTCCTTTTCCTCAGGCTCAATTGACTGCACACTTACATTCTCCCACCCTGCTTGGTACTGGGAGAACCTCCTGAAAATCTGTGTATTTATCTTTGCCTTCATCATGCCGGTCCTGATCATTACGGTGTGTTACGGGCTGATGATTTTACGCCTGAAGAGCGTTCGCATGTTATCCGGCTCCAAAGAGAAGGACAGGAACCTGCGGAGGATCACAAGGATGGTTCTTGTAGTGGTGGCAGTGTTTATTGTCTGCTGGACTCCCATCCACATTTATGTTATCATTAAAGCCCTGGTCAACATCCCAGAAACTACTTTCCAGACTGTCTCCTGGCACTTCTGTATTGCTCTAGGGTATACAAATAGCTGCCTTAATCCAGTCCTTTATGCATTTCTAGATGAGAATTTCAAAAGGTGTTTCAGAGAGTTCTGCATCCCCACTTCCTCAACCATTGAGCAGCAAAACTCCACCCGAGTCCGACAAAACACTCGTGACCATGCTTCCACTGCCAACACTGTGGATAGGACTAACCACCAGGTATGACTAGCAGTGGAGATGTCATCTCTGGATCCAGGCCACCCGCTTGGAGATGACATGTGTTCTGAAGTTACCACTTACACTGATTTGTAGCTTTTGGAAGGTCTGAACACTTTCAAGGTTATATTTGAAACTGGTGTATGCACACACAGAGACCCCAGTCCTGCATGGTGCTAAGTTGTTCTCTTGCCCTGCTTGATGCTCAGAAGCCAAGGGTTCTGAAGGGTACCTTGAGTGACTGGGTCCAGTGTGCATGCATGTGCAAAGCACATAAAACACTGTTTCACTTGCAGGATGTTTGCAACATGTTGAAAAACACAGATTTACCTGTTCATGCTCCTTGTCTGCTGATGGAGACAGGAGTGGGACAGAATACAGATCTCTCTTGCAACAGGGAATAGAAAGAAAAAAAAAAAAAAAAAAAACCTGTGCTTGTTCACTTTGCTTGATGTACAGAGAAGGCCTACATGGCCTTGTGTGTCCTGAAAGTCATGCAAGAGATAGACCAAGGCTTGTCTACATGCAGTTCTTGTGTCAGATAATTATGTGGTGAATAAGGTGGAGTTAGATATAGGTATATATATATATATATGAAGATATATACTCACATGTTAAATACTAATGTGCCATTTTGCCATTTCAGGTATACCAAGAAAATACCTTTTCCATGTAGAAAAAACCTTTAAGAAGTAGGGATTTTATGGCACATCAGATAACAAGAGTTGTTTGTGGTTTTTTTATTCAGCCTATTTTTGCATTGTTTTTGCAAAGAAGCTGTTTTGTACATGTTCAATATCCATGGTCCTGTGACTATGGTTGGTCCTGAGATTTCCCAAGCTTCATCTCTCAGCAAAACAGGAAAGCAAATTTTAGCATTCATTAAAGTAATTCAAGCACATGGCAAGCACTAGAAGAAGTCTGAGTTGTCTCTGTAATTCCTTAAAAATAAGAACAAAAGGCATAAGCTTGGTTCATTCCTTGCCGTATAACCTTTCAGCAATATACTTTGGTTGCTCATGCAACTGTTTCTCACTGCTGCCACTTCAGCCACAAGCTGGCTGCCTCCTCAAGGTGCAGAACTCAGTGGGTTCTTGTGAAAGCAGCTACCTGCCTGATACTCAGCTGCTTCCAGATAGCCCAAATAAGAGTATTCCAGTCTCCAAGGAAACTAAACAGTAATTGCACCACAAAAGAGGAGGGAAGTCTAAAGGGAGAAGGGCTAAAGCGAGAAGCTTTATTAAGCATCAACAATTGGTGTTGTTCACCTGTGTCTGACTCACACATGCCAAACTGTAGCGTGTGAAATTGGCACCTGCTCAGTGTGGTGGTGAAGCAGAACTGCCAGACTTGGCATAGGTGCACATATATATGTATGTGTAATGTATTGTAGTATTTACTAGGTGTAGCAAATTACTACATTCATCTGTTAATAATGCATTTGTAATCCTCAATGGAGTCAATTTTGTGCATGTGTCTGACAGCAAGATTGTATTGTCTAGTACAATTCCAGCTTTCTAGAGTGCAGTATGTATACACCCATTTTCTACATTTAGTTGTATATCTTTATATTACTTCTCAGAGAGCTGTAGCCTTCTAAACTTCTACCCATTGAAAAGATTAATGTGGTACTGCCTAGAGGCTGAGTGAAATAAAATCTGTTTCCCTGAGCACTGAGCAAGCACAGAATAGAAGATGATGTTTCCCAGGGAGATGTTTCAGCCTACACCACCAAGAGAGATAGCCTGCTGGGGCAGGGATGGAGCAAGCAAGTGAAGTGATCTTGAGAGTGGCAATAAGGAGGAAGCTACTCCTGTAGTTGTGGTTAGGGTTTGTTTTTTTTCCTTCAGGGAATAGTGATGAAATAAATTTGTTATGAAGAAATCAAGCATATATAAAGAGAAGGGAAGGAATCTGAAGGGAAGTGGAGGTGAGAGGAAGAATGCTGAGGAGAAAGGGAAACATAAGGAATGAGGTCCAAGTGAGGCAGTAAGGATGGAAACTGCATGATGGAAAAGCAAAGAGCCAATCTGCATGGAACAAAAAAGGTGTATGCAGAGCTAGAAGAAATTGTTTGACTGCTTTGGTAGCTCTTCCTAGCAATTAACCATCAGTTTTCTTTGAAGCCAGGGAGAAGAAGCCAGCACTTGGTAGCTCAGGTCCTCATAGGTGGGTGGACAGGACTTTGCATGTTCAGGTGTTTGAAAGACTCTGGAGTGGCCAACTCCACTTCCCTCACCACCATTCCTGCAGTCCTTGTTTTGGCAGCTGCTGGTGCTGCCATTGGTTTATTTCTGCCAGATGTGCTCCCTGAATGCTGACCTGGACCTTTTCTCTGGAGTTCAGCTCAGCAGCTATTTGGTACAGTCTTTCTCACTCTCCACAATGTCTATAGAATACATTCACAGCAAGCTGTGTTCAAAGCTTAGTATTAATTTAGCTTTTTTCTCCTGCAAACGTTTATGTAAGAGACATTTTTTGAAGTCTGCTTTTATCAGAACGAGAGACAAGATCATTGAACTAATGTACACTAAAAAGTTTCTCTGGAATAGTAACTAAAAATGTAATACCTAATATTTTTATATTATTGTTTTAAACACAAAAGGCCCTAGAGTGAATGCAGCTTTAGCTCTCAGAAAAGAAAAAATAAAATAAACCCCAAGACTGACACCAGTATTTGTTCAGACAGTGAGATTCTATAAATTCTATAGACAGGGTATTCTTTTTACAGGTAAGTGCTTTCTGTAAAAGAAAGTCTAGCTTGTGTATCTATTGATTGAGGTATACTGACAAGGTCTTTTTTGTATAGATAAGGCCTTGGAGAGCAATTAGTATGAATTCTAATTGCAAGGCTGTATAGTACTTGGCACACGTCATTTTTTTTGCCAAATCAGAGTTCTTTTCTCCTGTTAAAAGAGAACTACAAGGCTTAGTCATAAGGCCTAACACTCTTAAAGCATTTAAAAGCATTTAGAATAGACACTCTTAAGTCTTTAAGTTGTTGGGAGGAATTCCACCAGTTCAAAAGCACCAACAGGAAACAACATAAATATTCATCTTATTCTGAGTTAATATAGTGGCCTTGGACCTACTTTGTGGCTCCTTGGCATTACCAAAAAGGTCTAGATTAAGTGTTTATAGTTTTCAGGAGTTTTTATGCAATCTTATAAGTGCATTTGCTTGGAAAAGGAGTGATGTAATCCTGGGGGGAAAAAAGTATTGCAAAGTATTGTCAGAGGAGGGGAATGAAGGACCAAATAGTAGCTTTTGAAAATGGCTGAGGGTTTTTGATGTTGTTGACATTAACTGATTTGTATGAAAATCTTGGCAAGTACATTGAAATGGCTTTTACTTCAGATGCTCAGAGACTCTGCATCAATTTATCTCTGAGATTAGAAGAAGGTTTAATTTTTTGAGTTTAAAATCAATAGTTATTGTTATTTTTCCCTGAAAACTGAGTTTTTGCTAGTATCTATGTGTTAATAACTAAAAATTCTAAACAATTAGGGAACTGGATTATTAATAATCACAGAAATCTGGGAAATTTAATTTGTTTCAGTGGATTAGTTTCTTTGTGACCCATTTTAATAGCTGCTTTTATAGCAGCTTCACCTGAATGTATCCAAGCAACTGAGGAAATTATGTATAGGCACATCTTTGGGACTATTTAGTGTGTAACTCTTCTTTTCAATTTTAGCTTCTGATGCTTTTTTGTCAACTACTGAAATGTCTAAATGCCCTAATGGAAACTGTAAATCCTCCCCATATGCTGAACATGAGGCCTCAGATATGTTCAATAACAAAAGGCTCAGCCCTGAAAGCTTTTGCCTTTACTGCCTGGATTGGCAGCCACATGTAGAAGAGGATATTGGATTCAAGAAAAAGTTTTAAATTTAAAACAAGGAAAAAATTGAAAGCTAGTTTTACTTTGATTAAATGAATTTTCTTACTTCTTAATTTACCTTGTGCTATATGACCACTGTGAACAAATATGGGGAATGCTGGTGATTCCTGTTGCAGAAACATGAGAAAAAACGGGCAGCTTCTTGGCAGAGTCACATCTACCTGTATGAACAGAGAATGGCCTTCCTGTATATTTTTAGAAAATTATTATATCCCCTTTGTGAATTATACTGTATTTCAATTATAACTTTAAAGTACTGATTTCTTAAAAAGCCCATTTCTGGAGAGATATTGACATATATGAAACATTTGTCTAAGTTCAATAGATCTTAAAACTGGGCTTTCTCTCTTAGCTGATATGCGTTGACATGGGCTCTTCGTGAGTCTCCAGGCTCCATCTGTGTCTTCCTACTTTCTGTTCCATAAACCCTTGATTTACAGCATTTTATTTCCCACCCAGTGTCTCAACAGGTTCTGGTACAAAATTTTCTGAGCAAAAAGGGGTTGCAGCCTTTCAGGACTTACCATGCAGCAAGCAGGTTTTCTTGATGGAAACATCTGTAGTGCTACTGTGCCTGCATGCAAGTAGGACTCAGCATGGAGACTGTGGACACACAGGGCTGAGGGATTGTTGGGTTTGTTTGCTGATGTAAGTTCACCTCACACAGAATTTAAACTAGACTGTCAGTGAAAATCTGAAAGTTAGATTCTGTTTTGATATGAGCACAGAATGTATTCAACTAAAGCACTAATTCCCTTGTAACTGCTACAGAAAGAATACAGAAAAGGGAGTGAAATTTTTCCATGCTCATTAAATTCATAGAGCGTTCCACCCTAGAAAGAGAACAACTGGCTTGATATGAAGTATATTCTAATTCAAATTGCAGACTACTAATGTTTCTTTGTGATCATTTCCTCTGTTGCTTCAGACAAAAGCATAGTCTTGCCTTACTTGGGGCTGTGTGCTCAGCTTTATACATGAGAACAGTAGCTGCAAATGAGAAATAAATTTCTCCTGGAAAAACACACACACAGAGTCTTGTTGGTGGGAAGATATCAAGCAATTGTTCATTGTATTTGCAATCTCTTTCCTTTCAGTTGGAACTTCAAGAAGCTGAAACTACTCCACTGCCGTGACAGGGTCTCCTGCTGCATGGCTCTCAGAGCAGTTGCCACTGCCACAGTGAGCTAGTGGGAACATGTAGGATATGCTTTCCCTCAAAAAAATACCACAGAGGAAAGTGCCTGCTTTTCCAGTCTGTCAAAAATTGCTTCTGCAGCACATCTGCATTGCACTTAACAGAAGCATGAAATGTAACAGCGAGCAGAGCCAGGAGACACAGGGGCCTTCCAGGCTCCAATGTTCAAAGCAGTCCTGTTTACCAGGAGCACATACAGTAGTTGAAAACAGAGCTACTGTGCCTGTAGCAGCCTGACATGCTCTTGGTAAGTTACAGTGGTGTTAAAGGAGGTTGGAAACAAAACTTCAAAGGCTAGACAACTGTAGTTTGAAAAATAAGGTGAGCTTTTGAGGATGGAAAATAATGGGATATGAAGTTGTTATACTGTTGGATACACTCTATTTACTCTTAAAGTTTATTTGTAAAGGTGTTTTCTGTGCAGGTTAGTTATGTGCTGAAGTCTCACAAGGTCACATAGAACAACACATTTGTAGTTCAAGAGATCTTCTCCTGCAAGGGTTGCATGTTCTGTAGTTTCAAATGAAATTTTTTTCCAGTGATCCCTTAACAAAAAGAAAACAACAACAACAACAACAACAAAACCACCCTCCAAGCTTCATCTTCTGCTTCTATTTCACATAAATGTAAAAAGTACCTTAAAATCAAAACAATGAGCTATCACTTTTTCTAAAAGAGATGAGTAAATGAAAGTATTCTACATTGTTATTGATTGTCAAATTATCCCCAAAATAGCATAGATTAACATAAATTTCTTTGTAAATAAAAATGTAGCTATAAGCCTGTCACAGCTTGCGCAGGCTGATGATGTCTTCTCTTTCAAGTAGTTTCTCAAATTTCAGCTGCTCTGTCAGCAGCATTTTGAATTTGTAAGTAAACAACAGCCCCCATGTGAAGTAATTGGAGCAGTTAATGCATTAGACCTTTTTTTGAAAAAGAAATTTTAAACAACAATTTGCTAGACATCCACTTTTTATTAACCAAACCCACAGTATGTTTGCTTTTCTGATTAACAAAATACAGTCTGCATCTGCATTTTGTATTAGCTGCTAAAACACATTAAGATTTCAGGAAGAAACAATGTGCTGCAGCAAATGCCTTCTTAGCTGTTTTCTAGTATGAAGATTAGAAATACCCATGTAGATAATTTGTGGTGCAATGGCACGTTCTAGACATTGTTTGTTACTTGCTCTGTAAATAAATCATCAGTAGTTAACTGGGGGGAAAATGTACTTTTTGTCTTTTTCTTTCTGCAGCCAAAATGTATTTCTTATTTTCATTGTTAAAGTCTGTGTAACAATAAGGTTATAATGTGAAATTGTTTGTTTCTGCCGTAGACTGCATAATAAAGATTGAAGACCAAATCCTTGCAAGTTGTAAATTAAAGGATTATTGGAGTTTCATCACGGTGTTGCAGCTAAATATGTAGCCTATATATCAGCAGAATATGACGCTAGATATAACAGAAGTGCCTTAATTATTTTATCTTTCTGTTGAAAATTTGACTGTATGGTCATATGAATTTATGTTTAATTTTGAGTTAGTTTAGCTGTATCACCTCATAGCCATCATTAAAGTTTAATCCAGAGTCATCACTATTCTAAGAGGTTTTGGATCTAATTTTTAAACAGCATAAGATAGGCACTCGGAAGAAGTTGATACCTTGTTTTGCACCTCACAGCAGTATTATTTAAATAACAAAACCAACATAGAATACACTAGATTTAAATGGACTAACATCCTATGTCATCATTACTACCTGATGGATTCAGAGTAGTCTGACATGCTCACATACATCAAAAAATTTTAAAATATTGAATGAATATTTGGAAAATCTTAACCAATAGACCAAAAACATGTTTAAGTGAACCTAAGATTTTAGTTTTGCGAGTAGTCAAAAGTCCAGCTTTCACAAAATTTATGTAATTTATTGAAGCCTTTTTTTTTTTCTTTACTTTGCATGAAGCACATAGGCAATATACTGTGACTTGCCAGCAGACAGCCAAATATTTTTAGGGACATTTTCTGTTTCTGCAATCCAACAATTGAGAAACCTGACTGTAAATACGTTAAGCAGTAATAATGTTGTAGCCTTGATAGCTTAAGGATATGAGTAAGTAAATTTTATTAGCAGAGCACTAACAAAAAGTAAGAAAAATGTCTTTTTTTGCCATAAGGCTTGAATGTTAATTGGTAGTGCTTTGCAGTAAGTAGCATATTATTACACAACTTCTGTTATCTGTATTGTAAACCTTTAATAAAAATGCCTGTGTTTCTTGTGGATTTGCACTCAACCCCATTGTCCATGTTTGTGGTGAAAACATTAAATAGCACTGATCCCAAACAGACCCATGAGGGAGACCATTTGTCCATCTGGACATTGAGCCTTAGCCCACTGCTCTTTGGGTGTGGCTGTCCAAGCAGTTTCTCATCTATTGAACAGTCCATCCATCAGAGCCGTATGTGGCCGATTTAGAGAGAAGGAAACTGTGGGAGATCATGTCAAAAGTCTTACATGTGTCCAGATAGATGACACCCAAGACCCTTCTCTAATCCACACTGATGTACTTACTCCATCGTAGGAGTCCACAAGGTTGGTCAGGCAGGATTTGCCCTTGTTGACCATATCCAAGCTGTCTCAAATCACATCCCTGTCCCCTGTGTGCCTTGACATAACTTCTAGGAGTTCCATGATGTTCCCAGACACAGGGATGGGGCTGATATGTTGGTTCTCAGGAGCCTGCCTCCTTTCTACCCATTTTGAAGACAGGTGCATTGTTTCCCTTTTTCCAGTCACCTGGGACTACACCTGACTGCCACGACTTTTCAAATATGATGGAGAATGTCTTAGCAATTACATCAACCAATTCCCTATTTACTTGAAGGAGTCTCTACAGAAGGGAAGAGGAAAATTGAGTTGACCTTTTCCACTGCAGAGATAGACTCCATGAACCCAAATCTCTTTGTGTGAGTTTGTCCCTCTTGAAGCTGGAATGTAGCTGACTGTAATTGCAGATGCTCTAGCAGAAGAAATATGCAGTTGAGTTGTCTTTGAGCTGACTTGTGCGGGTTCACTCAGCTGAAAAAGGGAAGGGAGAGCTCAGCAGCTGAACTCCCCATCTTTTGGATTTATTGTTAATAAAGTCAAGGCAGCATGAGCAGGATTACCTGTGCTACTGGCATCTGGCTCTCATTTTGAATAAGGGGAAGAAACCTTAGAAATCTACATCATGCCCTTCCTTATCTCCAAATTCATAAAAAAATAGGGTGCTTATATTAGATTGTATTGTGGGCAAAACAGTCTCAACTAATCCTTGATAATTAACCATAAGGATTCAGGTAATCAGGAAGAACTCTGAAAATCAACTATGTGCCAAATGCAGTGGCAAAAAAAAACTACTTTGATGGCCTCCAGTGAGTCCCTGCCCCTGAGTGAGTTGCCAGCAGACACAGTCCTCCAGGGGGCATCCCTGTCCTTGCTGCTTGTTTTTCACAGGTTTTGGTATGTTGAGGTCTTTTTGATCAAAGGTCAGTGTTTTGCCAAACTTACAAAAAAACAGTTCAGCTCTGATTTTCCAAAGATCACTCAATAATTTTTTAAGTGACCTACTTCTGTGTTACTTGATTTTCTCAGAACTGTGTTTTTAAGATCATGTTCTCTTGAAAGCCTTTTTGTACAAACAAACTGAAAGATGTTCTTTCTGTTTTGGTTTGCATCAAACATTTTCTTCAATGTGTAGGATCAAAGTGATGCCTTTTGTGTCAGGACTGTTAACTGACTGGAAAATATATCATCTGGGAATTGCCAGTACTGAAATCTCCAAACCAGGTGATAAGATCAGCACTTTACTTTCTACTGGTATCCAGTTCCTAATTTGACCAGCTGCGGTTTCTCCTACTATTTTAAAAATTTTCTCTTGATTAGTGATTCCACATACTACATTTTGTCAAATAAGGTAAAGGAAAAAGTGTTTGGACTTTAGCTGAACTTTTTATCTGACACAGGATCACATTCTTCTCCTTTCTTTTACCCCCATAGATTTCCAACAACTAGTTATTTTCTTCTTAATTTTTCAAGGAAGCAAGATATTTGTAAATAAGATGCAGTTTAGTTCAGGATCATCTGAATTCTCTCTCACTTCTTACCAATTCTGCAAATGTACATATTCAAACACCTTATATTAAATGTTTGCTTGGTTTACTCAATAGTGCAGAGATGATACAGGCTGTTCAAATTTAATTGCTTTTTTTGTATTCCTTCACTGTGATATTTTCCTGTATCTGATGTTCCAGAGAAGAGAAGACAAAAGAACAGGGAACAGGCAGGCTCCAGGCTGCTGGTCACATGTAAATAATTCATCACATAGTTTCTGCCCATCAATTTACTGTCACAGTCTCTTTCTGTAAATATCTATTTTATTTTTCCCTTGTGATGCTGTCAGTAGGCAGCATCAAAAAAGCTTATTCTTCTCAAGAGTCCTGTACATTGAGTCAGAGGGATAAATACAGCCTGGCAGATCCAAATGTGATAATGTGATCTGATGATAAAGGCAGACAAAACTTCTTGCTCTGAAATATTTACAAATCAAGATTGCTTCCATGTACCATAACACAATTAGATAAAAACAGAGAATGGTAGCATCATAACACTAACACAAAAATTATTATACAATGTTTATGAGACTTTTCTTTCCAAGAGAGAATCAGACCATATCATAGTATCCACTTACGAGGGATCAAAATTTCATGCATTGACATTAATTCTTGGTAATGGAGAAGATGAATATCATCACCAGATGAACTCTGAATGGTGGTGGGGGGGTGGGGGGGTGTCTCCCATTGGTGTTGCTAATAACTATAGCCTCCCTCTGTGCTCATGTCTTAATGTAGTTCATTACAGAGCAACAGAAAATTAATTTTTTTTAATGTTTGATAGAGCATTTGTGTTGCCTTTCATACTGTCATCATCATCTCTGTAATTTGGAAGTTGAATATGGGATAATTGTATGAAAGCTTTTCTTCTCTCCCAAGAAAAGCATGCACTAGATGTGGCAGGGAAACCCCATGTTAACTGTGAAAGTAGAAATAACAGTGGAATTACACACGTGCTTGTAACTATATGCTCCACAGTATCATAGAATCACTTAGGTGGGAAAAGAGCTCTATCAACAAGTCCAACCATTAACCCAGCACTGCCAAGCCCACCACTAAACCATGTCCCCAAGAGCCATATTTACACATCTTTTAAATACCTCCAGGGATCAGAACTCAACCACTTCCCTGGGCTACCTGTTCCAGTGCTTGACAAGTCTTTGCATGAAGCAAGATTTCCTAATATCCACTCTAAACCCCTCCTGGCACAACTTGACATTTCCTCTCATCCCATCATTTGTTACCTGGGACTCCTTTCAGGCAGTCACAAAGAGCGATAAGGTCTCCCGTGAACCTCCTTTTCCCCAGGCTAAACACCCACAAGCTTCCTCAGCCACTTCTCCTTAGACTTGTGCTCCAGACCCTTCACCATCTGGAAGTTTTAGTCTCTTTAATAGCAGGGGCCTTTAAACAGTCAGGAAAGGAATTGCAATCAGTAGGAAGCGAAGCAATGTCCAATTTATCTAGGTCCCCTGTATACATACCTACTAGAGACATTTTAGACAGAAGTATCATGAAGGTATAATGGGATTTCAACTTATTGAACCAAGAATACTCTCTGTCCACACTTTTCTTAAAGCAAAACATCATGTGTTGGGATCACTTGGACTTGATAAAAGACTAGACAGCCTTTGTAGACAGTTTGAACAGAAGGTTGTAGCATTTGGGTTTGGCTTTTAAATCTCTGGATTGGTGAATTTGCCTATGAGGGATGAGCAAAACACCATCTAAAGAAATCCTCACAATGTTTTGGTTTAAAAGTAATAATACAGATCATTAATTGCACTAGATTTTAGGTAACAGTGCCAAAACTTCAGCAAATCTCTTCCAGTTCCTAAACTAACATATGTCAATAATAAAATGCAGTCTAGAAGTGAGTGAGAAGAAGAAAGCAGCAGCATAAGTAAATTTATCATGCAGGAAAATTCAGTGAAATCAGTATTACTTATAACAAAGTAAAACGTAGGGCAAAATTTAAATGCCACATAGGTGGTTATCTCCACAGGCTGAAAGGTTTCCCCTTTCCACTCCTCCAGCCCTTTCCCTTTAACATTACTGCCTCTGCTTTGTAGTTATTATTTTACTTTCTGTCTGGTGTAAGTTCAGTGGAACTACTGCTGCCTCTTCTCCAATGCAGCAGCAATCCTCTTTCTTGTCCCATTCTTTTGTAGAAATGATTTTTCCTTCTATGTGCATATTTTCTAATTATGTATTTGATAGGTGCTGCTGGGCTTTCAGCAGAGGTACCAATAAGGGTGTTAGAAGAAGTATTACCCTTTTTTTTAAGTTTACGATTGTGATTGTGGTGGTTTTAATGGAAGGAAATGTTTCAAAGAACAGTGAAATAAAATGTTATATAAAAAGTGTTATGAAGAAAAAAGTATTGTGAGTGTTCAATATTGTGCAAGCTTTCCTCAAGCTCAAGGTGTTTTGTTGCAATCAATATCAGCACCTTCATCTGTGAATCTGTGGGTAGTTGCTGCAGAAAAGGCTGCTGCTGGATTTGAAAGGATTAATTGGATAGAGATAGATTAATTGGAAATTGAATATTCAATACAGAATAAATGTCTCTCTTTCATCTTTTATTATCCTCACTAATGTAATGCCTAAGAATTTAGCCTGATACTTCAGCTACAAATTATTCTAAAACTTTCAATGAATCAAAGAAAAAACTGTATCTCTTCAGCTAATACCAAATGTGAATTTGGTGCAGTGGAATTAACTGGATGCTGCATTAAGAACTGAATACAGGTTTGTGTATAGGTATTTTTCTGATCTTTATTGTAAATATTGACAAAGTAGGAGTACAAAATTGTTGTAAAGATCCTCATTGAAAGTCATTTTACTGGGAAACTCTGGGAGGCTGCAGGTGGCATTAGATCCCAAAGATAGCTATGTCTTTCTAGGCAGTTGTGCAGTGTCTCTGTAGCTTGCATTGAACTATAAACTGAATTTATCACTGTATCCTATCCAGGAGGTAGATAGCATATCAGGGAAGGTGTAAACCCACACAGTAGGATTTCATGTCTTCCAAAGCAAAGACATTGCTGGAAGACTGAAGGCTGGAGAAACTGGATTGTGAACATTGCCAAAAGTGGCATCATGGTTCAGGCCACATTCAACAGTTCAGGCTCAGGGTGCTGACTTATTTTAGGTGCCTCTTGCATGCAAACACGTCCTTGGGAACTGAACCTATTGCAGTTTCCCTCGAGTCACCTTCCCATCCTGTCTTGACACCAAGACATGGTTTACCGTGTCTTGATGCTCTGCTTACTTTGCCAGATGGTGTCTATGAAACAAATGGAACTTGGGAACTAAGGCAGTTTTGCAGCCTGTTTTTTCTCTCCACAGGATTCTTTTGCCTTGTATTATTAAGCTAGTTCCAGGTGTCAGCTGATGTGCTGTCCAGTCCTGCCTGGGCTCTGGTTCAACCAGGTCACCCTACAATCCTCCAGAGCAGCCATGCTCCTAAGCCAGTCCACACCTTCCTGCATCTGAACCTTATTCCCAGGGTTTACTTCACACACTGATTATTTGTATGAATTTGTGCTGTCACACAAACTCTGCCTTCATCATTTCTCTGATTCCTTACAGGATAGGCTTCCTTTCTCTTTTTAATTAGTGAGATTCCCACATCCTCTTTTGAAGATGTAATTTGTGCCACTGTCTCCAAAGTACTGAGCTTTGTTTGCTGCCTCAGTCCTGAGGCTCTCCTCTGCTTCTTCCAAATAATACCAGTACCATAAGCCATTCTTTTTCTTGTGTTAGAAAACACATTTCAGAAATAACACAGCTGCCTGAATTGCCTCATGTCATCAGCAGTAAGATGAATAGAATATATTGTTTCACAGAAAACAAATTATGCTCATGATGAAATATCACATCTGTCTGGGAAGGTGATATGTGTGTTTTACAACAGTGTAAAATCTGATCTGGAGCTCCTCCTGTCAACTGTAGAGCAAAATTTCCAAATTTCACAGCAAATGACTCCACCAGCAGAGTCATCTTCATAGCTGCTGTAACATATGAACTTAAGTACTAGCCTAGGTGGACTGAATTTACTTTCTGTAAAAAATAAGATTTAAGAAAATGCACCTTAGAAACAAAGATTCTACTTCAGCAACAGGACTGCAAGGGCACAGGCAGGCCTGCCAGTTACCAGGACATGGCTGCCATTGCAAGGCTTGAGGACATTGGAAATGACTCTGATTTTTCGGATATTTTCTTATGACACACCATGGTAGTGGCTTTGGGGTTTCACCAGGCATGCACAGAACCTTTCACAAGGGATAAAAACACACCATGGTCCTTAAGTGCATTTTCCATAAAACAATCTCTGACATTAATGAGGTTCAGATCCTCAACTTTTAGGATGCTCTGCTGAACATCTTTAATAAATTACTGGATGAGATACATGGATATTAAATAACCACATACTAAAAATCATCCCCATCCATTGTATGGCCACTAATCCCATGCCACTCATTTTTCATCAGACAATAATTGCCCCTTTCCCACACCCCCAATTTACCAGCTCTTTTTCCTTTGCGTTTGCCTTTGCTGCTCGGGGGTTCACTTGCTCTTTCTCACAGAGCATCTTTATCTCCAGAATGACCTCGGTTTCATTTTACTGCTTCTGTTTCAGCTCTAGAGAGGGTCAGTGTCCCAGACAGCATCTCCCATTTTCACACCTGTTGTAAATGCTGTCACCTCTCTGCAAAACTCTTTCAAATGTGAGCTGAGACCATCACAAACTTGTACACGTGCAGAAGAGGGGAAGGCAAAAACCAAAATCCTTGTACTGAGGATAATGAAGCCAAAAAATCATGATCCTGCAGCAAACCCTCTTATTTTTTATTTCCCCTCTTAGATACAAACCTGTGATTTCACCCCTTTCTTGCCGTGCTGCCAGCAGCCAGCAGGCTGTGCTGAGGGATCAGTTTTCTCCTTCAGGAGCATGCTGAGAGCCGCTTGCAGAAGTTTTCTCACCGGCAGTGCAAGAACTTGTTTGTCTGCCCAAGACTAAAAGCACTTTGCCAAGAAGTGGAAAGGGAAAGATACAGTTTCCCCACCAAAATAACAGAGCAGTTTGTCACTGTATGCTGAATCTCATGTACTGCCAAGGCTTCTGTTAGACAATTTGAAACATCCCCTAGTGATAACGAGGATATTTCTTGAAAACAGGAAGACAATACAGGAACTTTCTCACTAACGGTAGGCACTTTCTTCCAGCAATAAGAAAAAGCCACAATAACAAGGAGAATGATGACTGAGCCATTCCAAAATCAGCAGAGGTGAAATAGGGTCAGATGCCAGGGATGGAGCTTTGCCCAATGTGTCTCCAGCGATCATGTTCATCCCAAGCTCACAGGAAGCAAGCCAAATAAAGCCCAGCAGGTTTTTTCAATCAGACAAAAGACAAATGTCCAAATCATAATGAGCAACTCAATGATACCTTTATAAAACTTTGGAACAGCTAATGTTTTGTACCACCACAAGAGGGTGTAAAGCAAAAGCAAGAGCCAAAAAAGAGGCAGCCCAAGCCAGCGAGGTGAGGTGTTACAGCAGGCATAAGGGTAGACATATGGTGCCCCACTGCCTTTCCTGTCAGCATTCCCACAGCAAGCATGCCAGGAAGGATCCTAAAGAAAGGTATCATTGCATGCTTTTTTGGAGAGTTTTGTTTTCAGACTGAGAAACCAAATGTTTAGCCATATATTAGGCACTGAAAGCAAGAGCACAGGTTGAGATCACATGAAAACTGTTTCCTCAGGTTGTCTTCATGATTCCCTGTCTAGCAGAGGGAAAAAAGAGAAGCAAAGGTATAACTTTGTGTGAACCCAAGCCAAGATAATGCTCTACTTCTGAAAGGAAAGAGTCCCCCTCTTCCCTCCCACTTACACAGCTCTTCTTCCTTCTGTTTCTGCCTAGAGAATCCTGCATCCCTTCTGAGGACTCGGTCAGGCACTGAACCCCTCCATAAGGCAAGTTTAGTTATCATCACTGTAGATGAGTATCCCACTTGCTGTGTCTGTTCCCTGCTGCCTGACTTGGCTGAGCTGACAGAGGTGCCAAGTGATGAGCTGATTAGCCCAAGGCAAGCAGTGGGAGCATGTAGGAGGTTGGGGGAAGAGAGGGGACAGAAACAGGGACATTTTTTTTCAGCTGAGCCCTTAGGACAAGCTCATTTCCTAGGAAACACACTTTCACCAAACTGCTACCTGGCTAGCCTATCCAGCTAAACTGAAACCCTTTTGACAAAAATATCTGTCTTCTTTTAATTGAAGCAGGCTGCTCCGAGAGCTTTAAAAAAATCTAGTAATGTTCCATACCTGCCAGAAGAGACTCTTCTTCTTAAAGGCTGCCTACAATAACCAATTAAGTGTTAGAGTTAACTAATTAAAAAACAGTTTCAAATATCACATTGTGAACTAGTAAAGGGCATTCCTCAGTCATTCCCCTTTCATTGACTCTTCCTGTTTAAGGTTATATGACTTAATAATCATATTAGTCCCACAGGGAAATTGCTTGCTTAAAGAACCAGCAAAAATGTATTTCTTTTTACAGGAGTAAACTGAAAAATCTGCAGTGAAAATAAGAAAAAAAAAAAAAAAAAAGGCTGAGCAAAATATTCTCTCATTTCAGTGTTTAATTGACAAGTGCAAACATAAGGCTCTCATTCTGCAAGATGTGTGCATCATTCCATGAAAATCAATTCACACATGTAGGCAACAAGCAGTAAAAAGGCAGCGCTGAGTGCCAACATTGTGCTGTGAGTTTTAAACTAGTGAAGAAAAACAACAACAAAAAAAAGACTCAGCAGATAAAATACTCAATTTGAATCCCATGTACTTTGATGGTGCTGCAGGCCCTGCCACTGCCTCAAAGAAGTTCTTGCATATATTCCTCTGTGCGTGACTTTTCCTCTTCTACACAGAGCACAGTGCAATAGACACATCCTTTCTTCCTTTGGGCCAGTCCTCAGCACTGAAAGTTCGTCACAAGAGCACTGCTATTTGTATGCACAAATGGCTTTTCACCAGGTGAGTTATTTCAGTAAACATTCATAAATATGGTGACTTACATTAATCTCTGCTAGACTAGTGCTAGTTTTTCTTCATGGGGGAGTGGGAGATGTGCTTTCAGACAATTTTTTTATTTTTAGCTGGGAGAAGATAAAACTGCAGTAAGCAGCTTCAAGAGTCAGAATAATTTGGGCAGGTCCTAAGGCATCTAGGACAGAGTGGTTCCTAAGCTATGGCATGATGACACAAAGTATTTGCTCTATAAAAAGGCCATTCACCTACATCTTCAAAATGGACCTCTGTGGACTAGATGGGGTGCATAAGCTTTAGACACTGGTAGCTACAATGCTTTCCCAAATAAATGGATTTTACAGGCTGAGCGTTAGAGGTTGAGTCATCTAAAGTCACCCATTCCCAGATCATACAAAGGTTGTTGAGCTATCAATGAATTACATGCATATTTCATCTTTAACTTGCTGCCATCTTATAAACCACTCCCTTTGGATTTTTATCAGGAAGAAATAAATTAGGAAAATATTAGTTTTTCCAGAGCAGACAGGTCTTGGAACTTCTCCCGTAGCAAATTTCAAGGAATGTAGTACTCTTTTCAACACCTTACAAATTTTTTTCAATGTTGAAATGACTTAAAAACTCAGCTTTTGGCAAGCTCAGCTCCTACTACCCTATGCAGAGATGTGAATTTCAGCATGATCTTGGCTCCAAGCTTTTTTCTGTTCTATTTTCCTTTTTTTCACCTCAAATTTTGTTTCAGCTCAGAATGAAGGCAGTTTTTAAAAAATGCAATAATGTTGCAGCTTGAAGCGAACTAAAATGGGATGAATCTTCAAGCATCAAGGAAAGGCTCAGTGGCATCTTAAAATGTCTCTGCTTTGAAATGCCCCACACAAAACAGGAAATTCCACTTTGGCTCTACTACTACAAGAAAACCACTTTGGCTTCCTGTTAACAGAAAGACATGTTCATATAATTGAACTCAACTCAGGCCCGCACTTGGTTACACTTGGTTACAATTGGCTACTTTTCTATGACTAAACAAACAAAAGAGTAAAAAAAAGGCCGAAGCCCAAAACCCAATCACAGTACATGGAGCTCCCTTCATAAACGATGATTTCATGGGCTCCTTCCCTACTTGAAAAGTTTAAAAATACAGGTTTTCGTATTAAATTTGTAATAGACATGTAAGTTTACAGGCTGACACAATAATGGGTGTAACACATCCATAATTTTTCTAAGTTAGAAATAATTTTAAATTCTGAATTTCCACAGAGTTTTAAATCAAATACCATGTTTTTCTTCCCCTCCCTCCTCGACTGTCCCACACCTTCCTTTTCTCTCCATATGATGATTTCCTCCAAAATTCAAATTATTTGCAAAAAAAAAAGTAGTAGCACATTATTTATTCCTGGTATTCCTGGTATCAGTTAGGGTAGAGTTAATTTCTGCTTCAGTAACTGTTACAGTGCTGTGTTTTTGATTCTGTATGAGAATGGTATTGATAACACACTGGTGTTTTGTTTTTAGATAAGCCATGCTTATCCTAAATCAAGGATATTTTTCCTTGTCTCATGCTCTGACAGTGAGGAAATTCACAAAAACCAAAGTGGCAGGGAGAATAGCTGGGACAGGGGACTCAAACTGACCAAAGGGATATTCCACACCACAGAACATCATGCCAGGTATATAAACCAGGGGGGCCTGATCTGGGTTTGGGAAGAGGGTTCTGATAGGTCAGTGAGTGGTGAAAAATTGCATTGTACATCACTTGCTTGGGTTTCTTTCCTTTTTATAATCAATATTATTGTTTACCATTACTGTTGTATTTTACTTTATTATAAATTATAAAACCTTTCTTGTCTCAGAATACAAGTTTTACTTCAATTCTGCTCCCCATTACACAGGGATGGGGAAGGAAAAGAGAGTGAGGCTGAGCAAGCAACTGCATGGTGTTTCATCTCCAGCTGCACTTAAAACCATGGCAAGGTAAAACCCTAGTATTGATTGACTCATCAGAGCTAGATGTAAAAATATTCACAATCCCCACATGAACCATCATAGGAAAGGAAATGTGATTCCAACTTCATTCTGGTATCCCATAAGGTGTACATCACCAGAACAGAGAGATTCAATTTCCAGAAAAGCTGCAGAAACAGTTGCAATTAGATATTGTTACCAGGAATTCCAAAACTTCCATGGCTGGATTTGCACCAACTGGCTTTACTGTCAGAGGAAAAATTGTGCATGTGCATATATCCACACACACATACTTTCTCCCAAAAAACGTGTATAAAACATGTCCCTTGAGGCAGATGGCTATAGACTTCTTGACATTCACATACTAGGGATGCACAGCTCCCTATTCTATGAGCCAATAGTGCAGGTCTTCCAAATCCAGACCAAGAAATACCAGTTACTCCAAGCATCACTGAGCAGAGCACAGCCTTGTCCAAATTTCTCCTGTTGAGGTGGCTCCCTGCTGTAGCTGTCAGCTTCTGCGTAATTCTGTCTCTGATTATGGCTTTCACACTGCTAGACAGCCCCTTGTGATAAACCCAGGCAAAAACTGTCACAGTAATTAGCAATGCCAGAAAATTAATCCTGTTTCACTGCAATTTTCACTTTGCATTTTCCACGCTTTCCATTATTTTGAGTCTAAGTAGTAGCTGAAGAGAGTGGAGTCAGACTTCCTGCACAGTACTTGCATAAAACCCATACATTTGTTTTCCCGAACAAAGAAATTTGTTAAAGTTATAACTGGGATTAAAGTAACCCCATTCAAGAATTTTCTGTTCTTTTTTAAGCAGTGATAGAGCCCATGCTCATTAGGTCTCCAAAACCTCAATAGTTCAACAATAAATATCTACTGACCATCTGAAAGAGAGTAATTTAAAAGCAATTTCAGGCTATGTAATCTGTCAAAACCAATAGTGGGGTTTGGACAGTCCAAAGGCATCTCTTTGTCTCTAGATTTGGGAAAGCTGTTTTGTCTATGCTTACACAAGTGCAGTGTGAACAGAGCCAACACAGCACGTACAGGCCACATAGGCTTTTCATTGCATAGAGCAAACCTACTTCAGCAAATGGAGTTGACTCAGACTTTGCTCAGAACTGCAAGGCACTGACTTGTCTGGCCCAGCTCAACAGGCCACTTAAGCATGTGCTTCTTTTCAACATCTAAGTGAAGATTCTTTTTAAGGAAAATGGTATTTACGTGCTTTGTTTCATGAGAAACTCACATGTGTGATAGAAAATGTACATGCAATTTGACCTCCAATATTTATCCATTACTTAGCACCAAGTAGTTAAAAATTAAATGGACCAAGAAGATTAAGCCCTACACTCCTAATTTTCAGGGTGCTCTCAGCAGTTAATTGACAACATTTCAATGGGAATTGTGGAAGAATTATTAAAAAAAAAAAAGGAAAAAAAACCCCATAAAATAAAAATAAGAACAAAAAAAGCAACATAAAAATGGACACCATTTTTAAGATGCAATTACTCTAAACCAAATTTGACCAGGTATTTAGCTTGCTTGACTTCTAGTTAGAATTAGTGAAGTGATAAAATCGCCATTCATATGATGATTTCCTGAAAAGAACAGATTTTAAACCATCCAGGGTTTTGTGTCTGCTTCCTCATTTAATCTTTTTCATCTATTTCCTTGCCTCTATTTTAAAAGAAAAGCTGCTGAGTGTTAAAAATGCAATATCAACAGTCAAACAAATCACTACACGGGTGGAAAAGATTTCATATGTTCCCACTAACACCATTATCTTTTGTTTCCTCAATCAAACTATGATAAAGCATAAAATGTATAAAGAGAGATTAATATGGCTGCCTCTCTATAGTGCATTTTGCTTTAAAATATAAACTGTATTGAAAACTAATGACAAAGAATATCTTCATAAAATAGCACAGTAGGGCCGATTGTCATAGTTCCGGTAGTGACATTAATTTGGGAATGGTGGACTAATTCTTGCTTTTCAAAATTCGTCACTCTGCAAAATTCCTTATACTGCAGAAGAGAGGAAGGCAAAAGCCCAAAACCTTGTACTGAGGACAATGAAGCCAAAAAATCATGATCCTGCAGCAATACTTCTTACTTTTTTCCCCCAAAGGGAAATCTTGAAACTCTCTAGAAAACTTTTTCAGGCTCTAAGTTGTACAGATTTTCTTCATCTAAAACTCAAAGCTAAAAAAGCAGAAAAAAGAGTCACAGCATATGCCTCAGGGCAGTCTCAGCTGCAGAGCCATTACTGTGATCTATAATGGAACACAAAATAAAGAGGCATTTCAAGTCAATCTGTAAGCACTCACAGCAGGGTGGGCTTGGTCCACATGTGCCTATTTACATTAGGAAATTTAGCATATATAAATATATAAATAAAATGTCTATACAGTACATAGTCACATTCATATAAGTCATAAAATTACATATATTTACAAAAATATTTGCAGCTTTGTTTTATACTTCCAGGTCCACATTAGGAGTTTAGTCATTTAGCTTCTGGCTTGTGATTATGATCACCTTCCTTAAGTCTGAGATGAACTTGTACCTTATATACTCCCAATTGTCAAAAATAAGAAAGGAGACCATAATCTTCCAAGTCCATAGGAAAAGTTGAATCTTGTCTCACTGAAGAGAAAATAACATGTTAGCAAAATCTTGAAGACCTCTTCTTCATGTAGAAAGACAGTACCTTCTTGGTCTGGACCATAAATAAGTTTGATACTCATAAAACATCAGGCGGAGCCCAAACTGGGTATCTGGCAGCTGTCTACAGTATCAACTCATGCATAATTACTCTGCCTTTTGTATCTGTTTAAACTGGTTGAGTGGTAAAAGTAAATGGGTACAGAGATGAAAATATATACATTGGGTAACCTTGGAGGGTAAAAAGGTAAAGTAGGCTACATCCTGTTGGGATCAGTTGAGCTTCATTTCAAGGTAAGTTGTATGGTAAAAACAATCTCGAGGATTTCATATTTATACAGTACATATTACATAGTTCTGTGTCCTCCAGAAGCTGGACGCTTATAATTTTCTTCTCCAAAACCTGAAAAATGTTTCTTTGCTACTTTGTTAAATAGTCTTCTTACATATGCAAGCCACATTCAGGCATGTTTTTTTGGGCAACCTGGGCAAGTTTGGGGAAATTGCCCATTTGACATCAAATGAGTTCTGCAAGAGCATTTAAAACTTTGGAGAATGGGTTGCTTTCCTTTTGAAGCACACTTGTGAGAAACAAACCTCAAGATACAGCAGCTTAATTTGCTTGTACATGAAGACCTGTGGAGAAAAATCTTGCCATGTGCCATTGATCAAATCGCACTTTCAGTGACTGGCTGTGGAGTCATCTCTTGCTCTTCACTATTCTCTGTGGACATGTCCTGGACCTCCTGATGCTGATATATATCTTGGACCAGCATGATGTTTGTGCTCCTCCACTCTCTGTACTTCACTGCTGTCAACTTTGGGTCCTCTAGCAACTGGTTAATCATGGCCAGGTCATGTTCCTTACACTAGGAAGAGAACAAGTGGTTATTTCCACAGAAAATGTCAAGAGAATTGTCCCTAACAAAAACACTCTTGGACCGTTAGACTCACGTCACAAAAAGACAGCCAATGACCCATCCTCCTGGCAGCTTGTTCCCATTTTTAGAACATAGGTCATCAAAGTTATATCTACAGTAAAAATTCTCCCCAGTTAAAGGCAAGTTATGATTTCATCTAGATTTTTTATAGCCTTCTTAACAAAACTTGATGAGAGAAGATTCACGTGAAAATTACACATTGTTATGCTGTCTCTCAACAAGACAGTACTTGCATGAAACAAGACACAACAGCATTTATTTCGGTAATTTACAGGAGTTCTAACTTTCTCAAAAAACACTTATTCCATGTAATAAATGTCTGGGAGCTGGACTGAACATAATTTTGGATATAATTCATGTACTGCCAGTAGAGAGGCTACAGTACCTGTGTCCGCCATCTACCACCAGCTACTGCTAATAAATCTGTTATCTACTTTTAGGCAAGAGCAGCTCAGACCATATATTGCAGGAGCCCTGGTTCATTTGTAAGATGTAAGTAGACTGATGCAGGGACTCTGAGACTTTGTATGTCACAGAACTACAGAATGGGTGGGCTTGGAAGGGATGTCTGGAAGTCATTTTGCCTAAAACTCTTCCTCAAACAGAGCCACCTAGGCTGCCTAGGACTGTGTGCATATGACTCTTGACTATCTCCAAGCATGGAGACTCAACAACTTCCCTGGAGAATCTGTACTTGGTCACACTCACAGTGTTTCTTGCTATCCAGGGGAAATCTATGTTTCAGTTTGAACCCACTTCTGGTCCCGTCACTGGGCACCACTGAAAATAGCCTGGCTCTGTCTTGATTACACTCTCCTTTCACACACTGATGTTCTTTGATGTCCTCACATGTTGTGGCACAACAAACCATTTTGCTTTTCCAGCCCATATTGCCTATCCATGCAGTGGACTATGGGATAGAGAAGCCCCGGTTAGCAGGTATCATTTATTAATGGGGGCTCCATGCTGCACTAACAAAACCTGGCTACTTTTGCCAGGCTCCCTTGCACCAGTCTGTGTGTGAAAGGAATGGAATAGTTCTAACCATCTTCTCCTGCTGCCACCCTTTTACCATACCCAAGTCTCGGAATCTGTGGTATTGGTGATTCCGAGATTGTAGAAAGTCTCTGTCTTTCAGCCCCATTGCCAAAGAAGAAGCCATAATTCATCTGTGCTGTTTTCCAAGTTGTTTATTCTTGCTTATCTCTAACATGCTCTGCTGCCCTGCCGCAGGTCTGTCCTGCAGGGCAGCGTGCGGGACTCTGCCCCTCAGTGGGATGTTACAAACATTATATACCAGAAACTACGTGTTCTATATTTACAATAATGTGCCAATATCTATCATCTACATTGAACAGTGTGTCCTCAGCCTAAACCAATAGAAAAATGCCAACACTACAGTGAAACATGGAGGCATGAAGAAGGAGAAAAAGGACAAGACACACCCAATTTCCTCCATCTTGTCCCCTTTGGACCCCTAATCTAAAATCCTATAATTTTACTTTTGCACCCGTGCCACACTTAATTATTACTTATATCAAACACTCAGAGCTTGTAATTAATCCTGTAAGATTGAAAACTCTTTTTCATGGACAGAGATTAGAGACAGTGTCTCTCGGGGCTCTGTACAGGGGGGTTCCCGATCCCCTGCCAGGGTCCCAGGCCTTCCAGGTCAGCCAGAGGGAAGCCCTGGATTCCCACACCCAAGGACACCCTGTGCTGGTGGCTGCCTTGAAAACACCTTGAAAGTACTCCCACACATTTGTTTCGCCTTCTGATAGCTGCAGTCAGCTGTTTCTACATCTGTACCCCACTGCAACTCTGATGAACCTTCAACTGCTCCAATTTCTGTCATGCCTTAGCTGCTTTTGAAACCCAAAAGCTCATTCAGCTGTATTTAACACAAGTCCTACCCTCAAGACCCGGTGCCAGCTCTTTTAAGAAGACTTCTGGCATTGATGCAGGGATATGTGCAGTTAGCTTAAAAGAAAAAGAGAGGAGATAGGGAGGTGGAAGGGAGAGGAATATTTCTGCTGGACAAACTTGGCAGCAAAAAGTCAGGCAATGGAATTTCTCCTGTAGTACTAAAACTATTTCCCACATTCACTAAGACTGTGATGCATTTGCAAATGGATTCCCTCTCTTCCAAAGTATTCAAAGCATGTTTTGTTAATGATATATGGTGGCAGCAACATTAATCTGTTTTTATATATGTGGAGTTAAAAGTCTAAAATTAAAATTGCATTGAGACTTGCATAAATAACTTCTCAAACTAATAGGGTTTTAATTAAAGCAGAATACATATGGATGTAAAAAATCCTGATTTTGAAATTTCCGGTACATCATTTCCAATTATCTTATGTCTTATATTATGCATTAAGAAAATTGACTCTAAAAGCACATAATTCTACTGATTCTAATATGGCACTTTCCCACTGCAGGCACTTGACTTTCAGAGAGGCTAACTTAAATACTGCTGTGTACAGAACTCTGTTTGTGTCTATAAGAAAGTGTCTGTGCTTTTTTGTCTTGTCAATACTCCAGTTTCTTATTTTGAAGAAAGGAAAAACAAACAAACAAATAAACAAACCACAAAACCCCCAAAACAAACAAAACCCAAAACAAAACAGAAACCAAACAAAAAAAACCCCAACGAGATCAACACATTATATATGCTATGAACACTCCAAAACTTATTTTTTCCATATTAACTACAAATGTTAGACAAGCCTAAGTTAATCATGACTTATATAATACTCCCATGCTAAATCAATGCATCATTGTCCTCCTTGCTTATGCCTGACATTAAGGCTTCCATTCAACTCCATACTAATGAAAGTGACTGTCCCACAAAATACAACTCCATTTTGCACTAACTGGTTCTTAGATTTATTAGTTTCTTAGATTTCCTGCCAGGGAAAACCTTGCAGAATGTTTCTGTACGTAGCTTCCTATCCTAGGAAGTAGGCATACTTTTTAAACCAACTTTCTGCTATGTGGGGGGCTCACTTTACTGCTGATGCAAATTAATACTTTTGTAGTCACTGCCACATCACTGAAAACTCTTTGATACTAAGGAGAGACTTCACCAGCTCTCATATGGAGTCAAGAAGAATGCCTCTCTTTCCAATTCCCTTTACAATTGTACTTTCCAGGAATTTCAATACAGCCTAAAGTGCCAAACTCAAGCCTTCCACTGCAACTAATTATCAAATCAATGATTGTGCTGGCAGGATAAGTTTCTAAAGACTTCTAAGATTCTAAAGAATCATAGAACTGCTAAGGTTGGAAAAGGCCTCTAAGATCATCAAGACCAAACGTTTTACATGCATTTCTCCAGCTTACAGTGCCTGAAGCCAAATACATCCTTTTGAAACAAGGTACTCAATTCCTGCTTCTAATGCATAGGAAAAGAAACAAGTGAAGCCCCAAGTTTGCATTTATTCCGTCTTCCATATAAATGCTATGGTTAAGCTTTTTGTTTCCCTCAGTACCATGCAGAAGCAGGCTTTGAAATCCCGTGACACTTGATGCTGGCAAGTAAACTGCTTCATAAATTCCCATATTCCAGGCAGATTTACCAGCCCTTTCATAGAACATCTCCTGAACCCCTGCACCCCTCCAGTTTGTGATATGTTTCCAACTTAAAAGCAGGATGCTTTTGTTATTAGAAATATTTTAGTTACAGGAGGTCTTTACAATAGCTTTGGCACATCCTGTACATTCTCTAATAATCACATAAGGAAAACTTTTTTTGGCTCAGGGTCATTTTCATGTGCTTTATCATCAATGTACTTTGTCTGCTCTTCCTTTTTTAAGGCTCCCCTGTTTAGTGCATTTAGCTGAGCTTGCAAGTTTTCCAGTTAACTAAGAGTTTTCTTTATTAAATTTTCCAAATGGACTGGAACTTCTGCAAGAAAAGTCCCTCCTGAGCTATTGCCTCTGCTTCCAGTTCAAACTGAACAACATAACACAGATCAGTGTTCACAATGAAGCAGAAAAAAAGAATTCAAAAACTTAACAAAATTCTCTTGGGCTTTCAGTAAATATGTAATTAGAATTTGGCTGAAATCTCTACTGCTTCTTTTTCAGCCAAACTGTTTTTTTCTTTCAAGCTTTTCTTTGGCAAGATCTGCAAACTCACCTTTAATGTACTATTCAGCATTCGAATTTTGTGGAGTTTCTCATTAATGGAGGGGTTTTTGCTGCGCTTGATAAATGATTTCCTAAGCTCCTTCTTAGTTGACAGTCGACGATCACCAATGGGAGACAGGCTTGCTTGCTCCAATGACTTGTAAAGCCGCTCCATCTCATCATCATCATCACATTTTTCTTGGTCTGCAAAGAAAAGAATAAATTGGGTATGAGAACGTGAATGTGGCAGCAGATAATAGAAAAGTTATGTTCAGCTATTAGGAAGGCTCTCAACCAACTCAAAAAATAATTGTATTAAAGTTAAAACTAAGGGCAGTTAGGGTAATTTCTAGGGTAACAATGCCTATGAGAAAAATATACTTCCAAACTCACATGTTGTTAAGAATCAGGTAATGAGCCAAAAGATGTGAGCCTGTATCCCCACTAACAGAGCACTGCTTTAATGTTCTGAAATATCACAGACTTTGAACAACTGTCAGTAGCTCTGTGTTTGAATGAAAATGATAACATCTACACCCATTCACCTCTCCCTGCATGCTACACACAGTGAATTATGCTTCTACCAGGCAACTCACAGGGCAGATTCTCTTTGGTGTGCTGATTCATCACCAGGTTTTGGTAATTATTGAAAACAGAATTTTAGAAAATGAACAATTAAAGAAACATAGAAATATTTCAGGGGCCTCAAGAGAACGTCCCTAGAAAACAGATTGAAGCAAGAACCCATGTGGCATCCAATGTCTTGACCCCAAGTTTCACAGACTGCAGCAGAGAATTTGCTTGTAATGCCTCACAACAAAGCCTTGATTATCTCCACCTTAATGATTCTGCTGGCTCCCAAGCTGCAGCACCAGACAGAGTACACAAAAGGAAAAGTGAGTAAAAAGCTGAGAATAGCATAAGATGAAAATTGAAGTAAAGGCATTTCTCAGAATAAAACAACTTAAAAATGAACAGACGGAAACTAAAAATGTGCCGGGCATATGTAGAGGGCCATTTTTAGAAACAGACTGCGCAACTCGCTTCTTTTCCTTCAGTCCACACAGTTTCAGTGATCTCTAAAGGAAAATCTTACAACTATTGCTCTTTTCAGGGTTCTAATGAATCCTCAAGATCCACTTTGGATAACACTTGGTTTTATATCACTGGGGGTAGTGGTGTTGGTTCTTCTCAACTGCAGTCCTTCCTATTCCCATTGAACTGGCTGGGTATTCTTTTCTTTTACAGTTAAACATTTACTTTTCTAAATCATCTGCAGTCAGCAAATATATCCTAAACAAAAGGAAAAAGTCCTGCTCACTCATGCTGCTGTGAAAAGAATTCTGCAATATGTCATCATGCTAAGGAGGCTACTTCTTATCTTTTCCATGTTTTATAAAGTACAGCATCCTCCTACATCCCTGTTCTTTCTAAATATTTAGGTTACAAGAAAGGTTTATGATATTCTGCAAATATTTGCCTTCACTGTGTTTCTGGCCTATTCTTCACTACTGTGTGATTATAAAAACCTACTGTAACTTGACAAAAACTAAATATAACTTCCAACTGGTACATTGCTGGGGGAGGAAAAGGAGAACTGTTGTATATTTAACAAGCTGCAGGAAACAGAAGAAAAAAATGGAAGTGTAAGGCATAATACACGGCAATAGTATTTCCTGAAAGCTGTTGGCACATGCCATGAGGCTTGTAATAACTAGTTTCCTGCCTGCTTTCTTGGGATGAAGCAGCTGTTTGTTTCATTAGCCAGCTTCTGCACAGGACTGGCTCCAGTCTGCTGTAGACATCACCCATCAGGACTGTGCACAGTAATACTTTGAGAGATAAATTGATTTTTATCAACTATCCAAGAAAGACTTTGTAAGAAGGGAAAAAGTTGCTCCAATAAAGTCAACCCACAGGGTTGACTTTTTTGCAGGCTTGACGCTTCCAGTGAATGCACTAGATTGATGCTGTAGATCTGACAGGGGGAGAGGTAATGGAGGAAGTGAAAAATTCTGATTTAGGGGAAATAAAACAAACTAAAATTCTGAGGCTTGATGCCATTTATCTGGAATTTCCCTCTAATAGGAGGTATCAGAGACAAGAACAACTTCCCAGAGGTTCAACATGCTTATTCTTCACTTCCTCAGTTTTCAGCTTCAGCTTTGACAGCCTCCTGTCAGCAAACTTGCCAGAGGCTGGAGACATTAATATATTGAGACTCCTCATCTTGGAGCATCAGTACAAGAGCCTGTCTGAAATATCAACTTTAATGCTCTTTGGGTCTATGTAAGTGAAATTATCCAGAACTTTCAAAAAGCAGCTGTGAAAAATAAAGCTGATGGTTTCCCAGTAGTAAAGATAAAGAAATTGGAAATGTTTGGCAGACAGAACATTTTGCATTGAAAATCACCTCCAACAGAATGTATCTGACTAAATTTATCTGAAATGTAAATATTTGTTCTCCCATTCTGCAACTGAGATCTCACAGACCCCCAGTTGTGTATTAATCCCAGAGAAAAAAACACTGCTTCTTCATCCTGTTCTTGCTACTCTTATGAGCATCTTGTAGCTTTGCCAGCACCTCTGTTTTTGAATCTGTTGAAATTTTTTATGCCAGTTGAGAGAACACATATACCCCAGGCTAAAAAGAGCAGAGGAAAAAAAGTCATAGATTATTTTTGCCCCTACCTACCTATCCATTCCCTAGCCCTTCTCTATAGCAGTACTAGACTTTTCAGGGAATATGAAGTCACCTCAGGGAAATCATATTTCTCACATAATTATGGACAGAAAATATAGAAAAAAAATTCAATTAGGTGAGCATAACTCAGGCAAATTCCTCACTGGCAAATGCAGAACTAAGGGAGGAAAAATTGGAAGAAAATAACAGGAAAACTATGATACCACAATTAGTCTGACAGTATAGTGGACTCAGCAGTGAGGGGTGGAATTTTAATAAACTAAATTGGAAACAACATAAATAAGTATCTCTTTTTCAGAGGGTTCAGAAAACCATAGCACAATAGTTTTCACAGTGATTTCTAAAGCTTTATTGATGAGAAACAAAATAATTATTGAAGTTGCTTCTCCACACAGTTCTTCTCACCATAGGCACATTTTTCAGCTAGTCTCAGCCATGATCTAGCTATTTTCTATAACTTTTGCAGAAGGAACAAAGGGGCCAGAGCACACCGGGGGATCTGTTCTGGCTATTACTGGCACAGGCAGACTCCAGAGAGGAAGAGGATGTCAGTCGTGAGAGCAGAAGGAATCAAATTAATCCAGCTCCTATTTAACCAACTCCTTCCCAAAAAACCAACCTAGATAAAATCCAAGAGGTACTTGAAAAGTTGTCCAGGTTTGAAAATATCAGCACACAACAGATCTTCCACAGCTACAGTGAGCTAAGGTAAAATAAGCCAGAAGCGGTAAAATAGGAATGCCGTGCCAAGGTGCATTAACTTCATATGATCATGAAACTCTCAGAAAATGCAGGGAACAAGGATCTTACTGCCACAGTAGTAGACCCCTAAATAAATAGAAACACACATTCCTATTTTGTTGTATAACCTCTCAGTCCCTGTGGTTTCCTTTAGCTGTTGTGGTTTTTGATCATAACGGTGATGTGTCAGAGTCATATACTTTTTCTTTCAGTGGTTGCCAGAAGAAATACAAAGGATGGGGTTTGGTTGGAGAGCATGTCTAGCCATCCCAGAGGGGGCAAGCCAGCTTTTGGATACAGCACACGTAGTCAGACAGCTGTTTGTATTCTCAGCTGTTTCTTGTTTACTTTTCAGTTTCTTTGCATTACAGGCAGCTTAGAATCCTTTGCCCCTGTGCATGTAGCAAGCTGCACCACCAAAGTCTTAAATATTCCCAAAATGGATGAATAATGTTGGTCTCCTTTCAAAAGAGAAAACTGATTAGCTCCCCTTCTTTGTATCAATCTCTGGTATGTAACATCTCCCCAGTAACTGGTGCAGAGAATTAATATTGACAATGTTCGTAACGCCACTAAGAGTGGTAGGAAAGATTGTTAAAAATATCATATGTTATGTGTCCTTGCACCAGAAACTCACAGTTGCTTAACAGAATTCATTAAATAATCTCTGTTGAGAAAATAATCCATCATCATTCAGTTGAATCTGTAGCTTTTCTTATGGAGATTCATTAATTTCATTCTGAAAAATGTTTCTTTCATTGTTTAACTCATTACTAAGGTTTCTTCGCTGTTTTCATACTTTTTCATGGTAAGCTCTTCCCACAAAACCACAGGTACTCTTTCTTCCTTTTAGGTACCAACTTTTCTCACATTAATCTCCATATCTAGACTTTGTCTGGCACAAGTGCTCACTAGCTCTAGAAAATTTTAACATCAACTCTAGGCTCTTATCAGCTACAACCAAAAATTCAACTTGTGCTTTTACCTTGAAGAATGTGGCCAGAAAACAGTGTGGCAGGGGTTTTTTATCCTCACCAGGAGAAAGAGAGAGCACAGACACAGCCATAGGTTCTGTGGGAGATTGAGATCAAAGGCTATCAAAGAACACAGCTGTTCTGATGAAAACATGACCATCTTTAAACACAGGGAACATGTGCTTTCAGGACAAATGTGGACAAAAGACAGACTTGTCTCCTCCTAGATGCAGTCTCATGACTATGAAACATGTCAGAAATGCATTATTCCAAAGCACTGTAAAGCAAATAATACCAACTGCACTGAGGTATGCCTTCTTGTTTTGCATCAGATCACAAGGGTGTTCTCACCAGTTATTATAAAATCAGGAGAATTTGCAGCTAGATTTTACCCAACAACTAGAATTAATATCATTCGTGCATGGATTTATGAACATGCTTATCAACTAGTTGGAGAGGGAAACTTTTGGGGGATAAATCATAGAACCAGAATTGCATCCTTTTTGATAATTTTCATTTGGAACTGAAATGTTATTTTACATTAATCCTTCTTTTCCTGCTTCATGCTCAAATTGAAGTAGCTTAATCTCCTTGAAAAATATTTCCTTAAAGTTTTCAGTGACCATTGCAGGGGAGGGCCCCACACAGCAGCACTCTCCATACCCAGCCCATAATATGCAGACTGATAAAGGGAAGAGAGACCTGTGTCTGGTGTACGTTTACTTGGTCAACAATGGGTTATGATGCAGAAAAGAACTAGTGAGGTTATACAGTTTCCATAGTGACTGTCTTGGTGAATGATCTATTTCTGGAATTCTGTCAGCGATCACCAGTGTGGTTAGGATGGAAGTGTTCTGTGTTCTGCCATCAGGGTTGCCCATCAGCTAAGCAGTGAGCAATAGAAGAATTCATTTCCCCGGAATAATCTAATAAAAATTAAACCATCTTGCACACTGCAGGAGTATACCAAAGTATGCCTTGATTTACATTTTAATCCCATTTAATTGGTTAGTATGATTGAGTTTATCAAACTATACTTTAAATGATTATGAATGTGTCATTCTCATTCTATGACATCCATAAAAGTATTTGTCACCCTTACATTAAAATGGAAAGCAATAACCTATGCATCATTGCAGGATTTCTGCAAATACCAGAGGAATATATTCCAAGCAAAAGTTTGGATTTCTGAAGAGGAACAACTGAATCTTTGTCAACAGGATCTATAAGCCTCTATGCCATTTATGACCTACATTCCAACAATCCACTTGAATATCCCTAATGATGTTTTCCAAAGACATTACTTTATCAAATTTAACCTGGAAGGTAAAATTACAGAAAACAATATATTTGATATGTCTTTGTGACTTTTTCATTAGGGACTCCATTTCTGCCAGCTCCAGCCTTTCCACAACTTGCAAAGCCAGAATTAGGGGAATTAGATTCCACAGTAACTCAAAGCACAACACTCTTCCAATACACAGAAAGAGCACATATGGTCACTCTGGATTTTAATTATTTCTAATTTTCACTGCTGCAGAATTTTCTAGCAGAGAAGCCTACAAAAATGGATAAGGTAGGTGTGCATAAAACACTGAGTTAATTTTCACTTCTGATGAAAACTTTATTCAATGTCTTTTTTTTTTTTTTTTTTTGTGTGTGTGTAAAATCAGAAAATATATAACTACATAAAGGGGTGCCAGCTTTCTAAGTGTTGATATTTGTGAAACATAAGGGGACTGACTAGGTAACCAATGTGCCTCATAGTATCATCTTTCAGTATCAAGTTCACCACTGCATTACTTTCAGCCTAAGCTCTTAGATGCAACTTTCTTTTGCATTGTGCCAATATATCCCTTCTCTTTCAGCAACAAAGTAGTCACTTCAAATCTTTACAAGGATTTTGAATCATGGGAAGAGCGGAGGCACAGGAATGTTGTTGTTCCCTTATGTATTACCCATCTACACAGAACTGTATGTCAGGAACAACTCTTAGGCTTCAACTGCTTTTAATTCAGAAAGAAGAAGCTTTGCTCAAAAAGCAGTAGATATTTCCTTGCTACACAGGAGAGTTATGAACAGTAACAATGACTGAATTCTGGAACCATACCACCCTTTTCAATTAACAGTACGTTTCAGTAGAAAGATACTGTGCAGACACCTATTTTCTTAAACAAAATCCAGTCTTAATAGACTTTCTGACTCAGGATTTCAGTTGTTATCTCTTGATTACAATGAAGCTTAATGAAGCAAACAGGGAGTATTTACTTTGAGTAAATGAAACAGCATTTACAACAGCATTTGTAAAATTGGACTGAGTTAACCCCATGTTCACCATTCCCTAAATATTACAGTTTTGTTACAGTGTCCATTCTGTGACACATTTGGTTAACATTTTGATTCAATCATATCTAATAAAAGATATGTGCATGGAAATAAAGACTGTTAATAAAATTATATGCATGCTCAATTTATATACAGAGGTTATGGTCTAACCTATAGATACAATTTAGAAAAGCTGTAAAGGTACTTACCAACCAGACACTAGGTTATATATTTAATGCACAATAATTTAAATGTTAAAAATTATATGCCACTGGAAAACTCTTCAGCAAAGAATATAGAGGAAGGAAGGGGGAAGGAAGTTAAGGAAACCTGTAACTCTTCTATTGTATGGCTCTGCAGCAAAAGTCTCCTCTCTCATTAGCTCACCTCTGGCTAGAGATCGCTGTCCTGTTCCATCTGGCACAGCCAGACAATGTGTATCTGCACTTAAGTAAGAGGTCTGGGATCCACCATTGGGTTCGGAAAGCTGGACTTCCTGGCTTTCTCCTGCATCTCCACAGACCACTTCTGGCGCCTCGTCAGAATGAATCTGCACGCAGAATGTTAAAGGCTGATCACCCTCTTCCGTGGCAGAGCTGTTCACCAGGTCAAGCCAGGACTGCCTCTCAGAATAAACCACTTTGGATGTCAAGGAAGACGATGATTCTTGGGAATTGAAAGTGCTTTCAGGAGAGGAGAGAGAACAAGATGCTTCACTTGACAGAGTTGAGGTGAATGATGACTTCTGCTGATCCTCCTTTCCAGAAACAAAAGCAGGGGTAGGGGGTGGGGAGGAAGAGAAAAGAAAAATTATTTACAAATTACTCCTGTTTCTAGGTTCTGCATGATATATAGATATGCAGCTGAAATGCTGAATGACCAAAAAATTGATGTAATCTGGTTATTTATTCATCCAAACAAGCCTGTGGTGTGGCAATCAATTTCCTACAGAGCAGTAACTTCAGAAATCAAGCCACCAGGAAGCCAAAGGCAACAGAGCTATAAACCTGACAATGCCTAAAAAAAAGGACCAAAGAAAACAATTATGCTGAATGTAGGCTTCTGTGGTAGGTCTCACACTCACCTTCTTTCTTTAATTTGTCTTCAATTTATTGGCCTAATCAAGAGTGAAGAAGAAAAACTCCAAATTAGCCATTGAACATGAAGCACTCAACAGTTCCACCTATGCAATAACCAGATATAGACAAAAGGGGTCCCAAGTGCTGTAGTACAGTAAAGAAGTATTTTTCCTGGTCCATTGAAGGGATAATCATTCACCAGGGCAAGAAGGCTTAGCAGAAACTATCAGAAAATGTGATGAGATAATCATGATATGAAAGCCAGATTTGCTGTTGCAGAAATTTATTCCTTCTGTATATCATCTCCTGCTGGCCAATGCCAGCATCAAAATGCCAGACTTGATGGACCACAATTCTGGCAAGTTTCTGTCCTCCATATTTATGTAGAATAGATCTGAGTAAGGATTAAAGCAGATGATAACTATACTGAAAATATTGAAACTCACTGAGAAGGTGTTGCTAGGGAAACCTAGAAAAGCTGAAAACACAGTAAAGGGGCTAGCCTGGAATACCTACTTATAAAGTAAACCAGAAATAAGTTCTATTCAAATAAACCAAACCAAGAGTAACAATTTTTTTTATGATTTTTAAACTCCTCAATTCAGTGTTGTATGCTGTAGTGTATACTACTTCCTTCTATTAAAAACAGCAAAGCTTTCCTGTGCTTCCAATACAGCTGCATCATGTAACAAGTAGTCAATTCAGAGGGTGAGGAGGACCTATATCAGACTGTGGGCACTATTTGTTTATAGTAGCTTCTTCACTTTTTTAAATTTTTGAAGCCATTCATAGTATCATAGAATTGTCAAGGTCAGAAGAGACTCTCAAGTTCATCCAGTCCAGCCAAGCACCCAGCACTTCCACTGCAACCCCTAAACCACATAATCCAAAACTGGATTCTAATCCCTCTTGAACACTTCCAGGGATCGTGGTTTCACCACCTCCCTGGGTAACCTATTCCAATCCCTGACCACCATAATGGTGAAAAAAAATTTGTCTTATATCTAATCTGAATGTGCCCTGTCCCAACTAAAGGCCATTTCCTCCAGTCCTGTCACTGTAGACACAGACCCCACTTGGCTACAACCTCCTTTCAGGGAATGGTAGAGGGCAATGAGATCTCCCCTGAGTCCCCTCTTTTTGAGACTGAACAAACTCAGCTCTCTCAGCCATTCCTCATAAGGGATGTTTTCTGGTCCTTTCATGATTCTTATAAGACTGTGCCAAACATTGCAGGACCCGGCATTTATATTCGCCTATGAAAAGTACATCACTGTGTTTCAGGTGTATTTTTGTTTCTAAAATAGAAACGTTCACATATGCATCCTCAAGCAAAGGACAAGGAGATGCTATAGTAAACTAGGAGTGCTAAAATGCCCTTGGGAACACAGGCGATATGAAGCATTTCATCTAAGAGCTCCTATCACAAAGATAAATTGTTGAAGCATTTATAAAGTCAAGGAGAACAACCAAACAGTAAGAGCTCTTGCCCACATGTTGTAGACGGTCTAATTTCAGTTGTTCAAAGCTGGAAAAGGAAGATACTAGATTTCACCTCTATTTTTCTGGCATTTGTCTATACAAAAAAAAAAAAAAAGTGTTATTGAAATGAAGACTGTGCCTCACTGAGGGGAATATGTTTTTATTTTCATTTTCATTGTGTGTTAATTTAAAAATATGAGTGAGAATAAATATGACTGCCAGAAGGTGTTTCTTATTGTCTGCATATGTGTTGTGGTTTGTTTTTTCTTTGGCATGACAAATGTTTACCTCACTTATTTGAGTGACTCCTCTGGAAGTTTTGCAATCATCCATATAATAAATTTCCATTTGGAGATGTTTTAAAAAGCAAATCATAAGGATTTCACTGGAGATTAATGAATCTCTAGGTATTTTTTAGAGAAAAGTTATGAACATGAAACTCTTCAACTGCTTTTTTGGCCACTGCTGCAAACTATTGTCTTAACATATCTGCTGATGTTTTAACTGTGTATGCATTCACACATGGACAAACTAATGCAGGTGGTCAGTTTAACTTTTGTCCTACAGACATTATAATGTATTTGTTCCTCACTTTTTCCCTCCACAGTACCCAAACTCATCCATACACATGGAACCTCATGATTTTTTCTTCTGCAAATTTCAAAATTATTTCAGCCAGCAGAGAATAGAACAGCAAGTCCCAACTTAGTGCTAGAAGCACAGCAAAATGTTTGCTACTCTAAAATGTAACAGAGCCTACACCTGGGTTTCTATTAGTTTCTAGAATAATAGTTTTTGGTTTGGAGTTGATGTGAAGAAGTTTGGAGGCCTTTCTGCTTAAAATAATAAAAAGAAATTAGCTCCAGTAAATGTCTGTGGCATTCTTGACACTAAGCTGAGTTGACAAGATAAGTGTAATTTCCAGTAGCAATTTGAGAAAATTGAAGTAGGCCAAGTGCTGCACCTGCAGAATATGAACCCAAATCTACTACATTTTTGAGACTTCACAGCTTGGTTCAAGAACTCTGCAACAAAGAAACAGGCAGACAAACCAGCCTTCTCTGAGACAACCACAGGCTATAAACCTAGAATTGAGCTTTTTGTAGAGGATGCACTTTCCCAATCATTCCAATGTTTTTCTTGTTTCAGCCCTTGCCCAGAAGTGAAAGGGGCATTAAATATGGTATTTAAAAGAAGACTCTGACTTGCAGTCAAGTAGAGCTGTTCCCACTCACTATGTAAGCAAGCTGAATACGAGGTAGACCTACAGCAAATGGAGCTTATTCCAGTGGCAGTTCTGGGGTTAAAAGATGACACCTTTGCTCAGGAGACACTAACCTTAGTTCACAAGGGAAGGGATTTTAAGGGATAGGAAGAATCAGGAAATCATCTGACAAAGGCAAAGGCTAAAGAGAAGACACCCTTTAAGGGAAAGCTTGAGAAATCAGGATCCCTCAGCATCTGCACCACTGCCTGCGTCTCACATGTTCCCTGCCAAAATGTGGAGGCCAGCACTCAAGAGGAGCATATGGGAAGGAGACAACCGGAGATGGCCTCTCCAGCAACAGACCAACAGGCAGCAGGAAACCAGAAAAACAGAAAACTAAAACCAGCACCTGTTTAAAACCCATCATCTGGAAAAACGCAGGCATTGACTCAGAGACCAGCAGATGGAATACACATCTACACCTCCTAAAGACAGGCCACTGAGGTATAAAATTCAAGATGCTTCATTAACTGATGCACTGCCCTGAATAACTGTGGGAGACATATTGCCAAAGTTCTCTGCTCTGATATTTATAGCCACTCAGTTGTATTTAACTTCCACTTAATACAGGCAACAAGGAATCATATTCTACAGCAGCGAACGCCTCACACCCCTGCGTGCCAGGCAGATTTATTCTAGTGATAAACGTCAAACATTTTGGGAGAGGAAGTGAAGACTGACTTATCTGACTGAAAATAAGGGGGGTGAGTGGGTGTCCATGTGACATGTGCTCCCAGCTTTATGTGAGCTAATTAGAGATTGCCAGACAGGCAACCCTGTCCACGACATCTCATTTTATTAATGCCTGTGATCGCACAAGCTTCTCTAGCTCATCTGTATATTTCAGATTTGCTCCTGCTTTGCTGCTCCTGTGCCCACCCCAGCTACTGGGTGTCATTTCAGCATGCCACAGAGGAACTTGGACCACAACAGTGAGGCAGCAGACACTTCCCTTCCATGAAATGCCAGGAGAATATTTAGTACTAAGTATATTTCAGGTAGTTAAGGGAAAGGCTTGAATCATGATTCCTTATTACCAACCCAAACCAGATCACTCATTTCGAAACACAGAATTAAGTAAATTTGACTTTCCATTTTAATGGGAAAAATCTAAAAAAATTTAAAATGTGGTGACAAAAGATGCTCACAAAGCTGCTCTATTGTTTCCAAACCATGATATGAACAATTTGTTTACTCCAAAATTGCAGCCAAACCCCCAATGCCTATTACTAGCTCCAGGAAAACTTACTGGTTACAGAGATTAAGGGATTACTTCTGCTACTTGTAACAGCTCTTCCTGACTTCTACTACAAATGAAACTTTTTTTTAAAGGCTGCAAAGAGAGGAAAAATCCAAAAAAAACCACCCCAAACCTAATAGTGAAGCTACCTGTCATGGCACATTAATACCTTTTCTCTCTTTACTGTAAAAAATATAAATGGAAATTTTTTTTTTTAATTAAAAGATTTTTTTAAAAATCCATTTAAATCACATGTAAGGGCAATGAAATCACTGGGAAAAACAATTATACAGAAACAAGATTAATAGGGCAAGAAGTAGATAATAATTAGGCAAACCAATTTGATTAGACTCATGAGGGTTCATAGTGCTTATTTTAATTTATGAAATGAAGTGAGACAGGAAGGAATATTCTGGGACAATATGCTACATAGATTTTGGAAGAATGCCTATTATCTTTTTTCATAGTCTATTTTTCAGAGGTAGAAGAAGAAAACTAGATTCTTATCTCTGTGTGAAGAGGCCTTTCCCCTCACTTCACTGCTACAAAAGCAGCTTTAAATTCAGCAGATGTAAAAAAAAGCCCTCTCAAATAAATAAATATGAAGCTGTTTGATATGCTACCAAGGTCACAAAAAGAGAGAGGTTTCAGGATGGATTTTGTTAAAAAAGAGAGAACAGTATGAAAAAAACAGCTTATAGCAGTGTGTTAAAAATCTTGTAATGAAAAGACACAGTTTATGTATGAGGTAGAACGACACCTTCCTTTCCCCAGCAAGATAAATAGGAAGGAGCTGATCTTTTACAGTGCAAAGCTCCCTGTGTTGCAGGACGTGCCAGCTGTGTGCTCTGCCATGGGGCAGGCAGTCTGTGCATGAAGGTTTCACAGGAACACAGCCTGGACATTTCCAGACGATGTTCTAGGTTATTCCTAGAGGCCCACCACCTCAGGAGGGTTTTGTTTCAACCCACCTGCAACAAGAAACAAGGTAATAACTGGAACTCTTACCGAAGGAGGAGGTGGGGTCTGGACTGCGTAGGGTGGAGGTGGCGTGTCTGTTATTTCTGGATCATCATGCTCACTTTCACTGTAGCACTCTGAGGTAGACATGGAAAATGAGCAAAAATAGAGTTAGACCAAAGTATTATTCTTTGCAGCACTGTGGCAATCAAAGATCACCAAATAGGATGTTCTGGATTTAAGACTACACTTTACCAAGTCAGTGTCTCCTAATCCACTTGTGGTAATGCTGGAGAGCTGTTGCAAGTAGCAGAGGCAATGCCTTAATCCCTGTAACCACTAAGTTTTCCTGGAGTTAGCAACAGGCACTGGGGCCTTAGCTGCACTTTTGGAATAACAGATTGTTCATACCATAGTTTGGAAACTATAGAGCAGCCTTGTGAAAGTCTTTTGTCACACATGGTATCTCATATAGATACACCATACAGCATGCATACGAAGAGATAACAAAAGTAAACACAGTACTCTACTACCCTACTTGTGTCTCTTTTGTTGGGTTGGGGTTTTTTTGGGGTTTTTTTGTTTGTTTTTGTGTTTTTGTGGGTTTTTTTGGGTTTTGGGGGTTTTTTTGGTAACCAACTTGCAGGAGTTTGAACTCATTGACGCATGGCAGAGGCAGTCATACAGTTATTTCTTTCAACTATCTGTGCAGCAGGTGAAAACATTTTCTACAAATTTCTTTAAAGGTGTATTAAATGACGTGATAATTATTGATAAAATTATACACAGAAAAAGGGAGGCAGAATGTTGCTGGTTCTTATGCCCAGGACCTGGCAATAGTAAACATTGGACAAGATATAGAATAGTTTGGTTTGGGTGGCACCTTTAAAGGTCATATAGTCCAACTTCTCTGCAATGAGCAGGGACACCTTCAACAAGACCAAGCTGCTTGCAGCCTTGTCCGGCCTGATCTTGAATGTTTCCAGAGATGGAACTTCTGCCACATCTCTGAGACACCTGTTTCAGTGTTTCACTAACCTTACAGTAACAAATTACATCTTTGTATCTGGTCTAAACTGGCCCTTTCTTAGTGTAAAACCACTACCCCTTGTTCAGTATACCCTTCCAAAATGTTTGCCCCCATCTTTCCTATGGGTCCTCTTTGTGCACTGAAATGCCACAAAGATCACTTTTGTTTAAATCTCCCAACACAAATTAACCTTTATAGGAGCAAGTGCTTGCATCCTGCCCTGTGTTAATAAGCACAGAGTGAGTGGAATAAAGTTGTAAGAGAGAAGAATGTTGTGCATGAGAGAGAATTTTCTAACATGTTAACAAGGAGAAACTTAAAGAGGTTCATTTTTTTTTTCTCCCTGTACTCTTTGCAGAACTGTGGGGTTTTGAGTAGCATAGATGCTCTTCTGTTTCCTGGAAATATATGCACATCTAAGCATAAAGAACTGAAACCGGCTACAATAAGGCTTATATCAAATTCTAAGACTCTGTTAATGCCTTTTTGAGTAACTCACTAAAAAGCTTATGCTTTCTACAGCTCCCCTTTTAGACACACAGAAGAACTAAGAAAGATTCAACAGCGGTTTCTGATACTCTAAACAGGCAAATGGCGAGGGGGGTGTGTTAAAATGCACAGAAAGTATCTGAATACACGAGAAATGCCATAAAAAGAGTCAATACTTCTGAAGAATTATGGTGTGTGATACAGAGAGGAGAAACTGGTCAGTAGGAACAGAAGTGACTGTGGGTAGTGACAGTATTTTTATGAAACATAGAGATGTTCCTGTAAGGATGTGTCCACCCAGGCACCAGTGGGTGCTGCACCCACAGTGAAGGCAGCTGCTGGATCACCTGTGGTAAAACATGCATGAAACGACAAGGAGGTGTTGACACCAGAATCAGAAGGCCTTTTCCTGAGGGGGAGATGGGTGACTATCCTTAAAAGCTGAAGAAATATTTGCTATATTACGCTATTGCAAAGTTATTAAATAACCTGTTGCAGAGGTTATTGAGTGGATTATTGTATATCTTTTGGACATTTTTTAATATTAAAATTGGTGGAATAACTCAATTTTGTTGCTTCATAATTCTTGATTCAACCAATACAACCAGTATCACATTTTTTTTTAGTTTAAAAAAATGGGTTTAATGTAAAAATTTTGGCCATTCCTATTTTCCATTGAACTCTTCCCTTCATGAAAAGATGGAAAATATATTTGCACACTTCCTCCCTGAGTACAAGTATCTTGCAGTTCTTGCTGCACAACCTAATAGTCAATATAGCCTTTTATTCTAACATGTTCTGATAAAGTTGGCTTCAAACAGGATATAGGAAGGAACAATTAGATGGTGTTGAAGTTAACAAGTTTCCTGACAAGAAACAAATGTGAACTGAAAATGAAGAAACTGATGAGACTTGCTGAATTCTCCAGGAATCAGTAGCATCAGTGTTTACCAACCCCAAAGCTGCTTTTAATGGTAGAGCATAAACGGAGCGAGATTAAAGTACTCAATAATGTAATGACATGTCCCAAGCCTGGACACAAACGACAATTAATGACATGTCCCAAGCCTGGACACAAACGACAATCTTGAATTTTGCGATAAAGCAGAAGGGATGCAGAGAGGAACACGTCATTGCTTAGGCAAAACTGGCTGCATCACCTAAGTGTTCATACTACTGCAAATACCAGTTTCTTCTTCATAATGACAGCTCCTTCACAAGCTCAGCAACTCCAAAAAGGGCACTGGGTACCAATACTCTAAAAATGGAGACTTAAAAGCCCAGATGATGACACATATTCCTCAGAGTCCATTCCTGGTTTGGTAACATAATATTACTCAGAGCACTTCTCATTCTGAACCAGTCCCTCTGCCCAGATTTGTGATTTGAGTGCTGCTATCCTCCCACTAAAGAGTTATATTAGGTTGGTGTGCAAATTGAGACAATAAACTAATAGTTTAGGACTTTTAAAGTTTTTCATTCCATAATGAACTGGAGTTTGGCTCTGAAACAAATTGTAGGCTCCAGAATAGCAGTACCACTCTCTCATCCCCCACCATTTCAGTTGTTGAAACCCCGGGACTGGAGGACACAGTAGGGATGGGTCTGCAGAGCACAAGGTATTTCTGAGCCTGCAAGCTGCCATGCTGCAGCACTCCTGTAAACTAACTCACCAGCTCAAAACCAGAGCAGCACAGCTGTTCCTCTTCACACTTGGTAGGCTTAGCAAGCCAGCAAACTGCCAGAAAGTAGTTACACACCTCTCAAAAGATCACCTAGTGTCTCTCACTCACGTTGTTTCTCATATTTTTTCTTTTTCTGTGGTTTCTCTGACCTCAGGCAGTAGGCAGGCACAAGATGGGTTTGAAAGAAAGAAAATAGTTGACAAAAATTTGGCCAAGCAAGAAGTGTGAAGAACCATAATGAAGCCAGTTAGGAGCATACCTTCCTCATTCTTCCTGTGTGGTGCCTGAGGGTCTACAGCCATTCCCAGCTTACTTAGCCACCTGTGTTTGAAACAGAGGGAGCACAGAGTCAGGGACACTCACACGCTTTTTAGACTGAGTTTTGCTCCTTTCAGTTGTGTTCTACATCTACATCACATCTGTTTTCATTAGCCTAAAGACCAAAAGTCAAAGTTTCTATTTCTTAGATCATCTTCTAGATGATCTAATATAAAATGTAGTTTCCTCTCTCGATATATATATTATAAATATATTAATAATATAATATAATATAATATAATATAATATAATATAATATAATATAATATAATATAATATAATATAATATAATATAATATAATATAATACTCTATATTAATATTCCCTGTAGTGAATAGGATTAGTTGCCTGGGACATCTTTCCTTGATACTGAAAAAAGGTACTACTGATGACCCAGGAGTTGCATTTGTGTAACCTAAAGAAAGTCTTCATGCTGTAACACCATGTCAGTGAATTAGTCCAGCTGTTGAGGTGTCATCTTTCACCTTAGATGAAGACAAAGGCATGGGAGCCTCAGAAGATGAGGTCAGCTGCCCTGGCCAAAACTATTGCAGCACAGTCTGCACCACTTGAAACCAAACTTTTTGATCAGAACATATCACATTTTTCAACTTGCCATGTACTTTTGGTTTTAGTAAGTCTCACTTCCTGTATTGGTTTATGCTGTAACCGGGGTGTTTTTCACTTATCTTCCTAGGTGGCTGCATTTTTCTGGGGTTAGAAACATTCCCTAGTTATACATTTTGTATATTATGTTTGCCTGTAGGTCATTCAGATCTATCCATATTTTAAGTAACTAACAACCGAAAAGGCTCAAGCTTTTAAGATTAAAACAGGAATTCATTACTGGAAAAAAAGGCATTCTGTTTGAATTTGGTTCTACTAAAGCAACAGGGAATTCGCTAGTAAGATCAGCATCAAACTAACTGCACTTTTAGACTGTAGTATAAGCAACAGAGACACAAACAAATCAGAAAAACAAAGTTTCATTTCTATAAGAGTGGTCCATTGACTCATCTGACAGCTAATCCTAATAGAATGATTTTTTAAATGAAAATCCACCTTAACAAGGAAAATATTTATTAAAAATTTCTAGGACTTCATCAATGACAGGGGCAGACAGGTCACTAATAACTATATAAAACTGGACAGCTAAATGCATCCAGCTAGTCAGCATGGCTTTACTTTTCATGTGTGCATGACAATAGCAAATACATGATAAATTAGTGAAACAAATGACTGTGTTAATAAATCCACTGTTGATTTAATAGAGATATATGTAGAGGTATATGCATATATTGATATCTTCATGAAGAGTTACAAAAAGGTCATGATTCATCAAGCATTTATGCACACCAGGAACTTGACACACACAAATGCTCCAGTGAGTTCAGTGGAGCCATTCACATATGTATTTGCAGGACTGGAGCCAAGAGAACAGATGCCTTTTAGTCTGTTTCAACATATGCGTGAGTATGCGTGTACTTTATGTATTAAATGCATTATTTTGTACTTTGCCAAGGAAAACATCATCAGTTGCAACAGTGAGGGGTTAGTACATAGTGCAGGCTGCTCTAACACTAGGCTACCTAGCTTTAAGCCAAAATGAAATTTAATCAAGAAGTGGAGTTTGAACAAAATCATTCCAGGGGCATAAGAGCTGAGACACCTGCATAGATTTCAATCACTGACTCACAGGAGATTGAACATTTTTCACATGAAAATTTCCAGCTGGGCTCCAAACTGGCTGTTAGCGCTTACTAATATCCTCCATTAGCTCTAATTTTCCTTCTCCATATGTCCTTCCATCTCTTCTCTCTTAACTAGGGTTACCCTCTCTACTGAAATACTCCTATCCAGCTGTCCCTCATTCTCAGTCATCCTCATCCTATCTGCCTCAGGATCTTGTAACTCCATTCAGGAGCTCTGGTGGGAAATACAGGAACACCAAAATGGATGATTACCAGAATGCTCCATAATGCTCCAACTTGCAAAGGGCAACAGATTCTTTTCATCTCTATTTACTTGTAAGCATCTGTAGAGTCCAGATTTATTAATACATATCTATGTACATACACTACTGTAATATTGTACATTTCTATATCTATAGATCTTTCAGAAGATTATACACATTCTCTCAATCTCTCTCTTTTTCTGTTGTGGTAAATATGAATGAGGTCTCCTGTTTATAGAGGGAATGAGTAGCCTTTGCCTGTGAAAAATCGTACAAAGATCACCAGCAGAGACATGATTAAAATCCTGACCTGACTATTGTAGGAGCTCTCTTCCCATTTAAATTGTACTGGTTTTTATCCAGTATTTGGCCATTTAATGTCATAGCATAGGGAACCAACCGCAATCTGAAGTAAAAAGGGCAAAGGTATGAGATATATCTAAATCAGCCAGATTTGGGACAGTAGAAAATAATGTCTTTCTGATAGCTCAGTGGTTTCTAAAATGGCAGCATTCATATCCATTTTTACTTCTTCCATTGAGAACTATTTAGTTGTTAATCTTCTGGACATCTGTGGAAAGAAAATTTGGACCTGCCATGATGATCATTCAATGACAGCATAGTTTGATGCTGAAGTTAACGCTAATTTACATTAAGGAAACACACCTTTCTATCCATTTAACCCTCCTTGTTAGCTGATATGATGCTCCAAAACTGTTGTATTCTAGTCCTAGATCACTTCTGGGACTTTTCACTCTCTTTCCTTTCTCCCCTCACTTCTTCCCAAGTGCTGTACTTGCTATTGAATCCAAGCACTGCTCTAACAGAAAGAGATTTATACCAGCAAATATTGGGAAGATTAGTATAAAAATTGGGCTAATTATGCAATTCTGATTTCAATCAGAATGAACAAAGAGCAATAGTTTTCTTCAATTTAGTGACCAGAAAAATTAGACTCAGTAATTCCCCAAATAACTCTGTCAACGACTGCTTGACAGTGAAAGAATGAACTTTCAAAGGGTGTTCTCAGGCATGAGACAGGATGAAACATGACCAGTCACTCCTACTTACGTGTTCATTTCCAGAACATTTTCTGCCGCAAAATAAAATGTCTTGATCTGTGGGTGGCTGATCTTAATAGCACTTTGGGAAAGAAAAAGATAAGAGATATGAAGAAAAATAGTTTCCATAAAAATGAAAAAATAATAGCTGAATGAATTATTTAAAGTATTTATTCACTCCATTGTATTAATCCAGATTAGCTTGTCCATCAATACAGCTCTTTCTTTAAAACACTAGTCTATTTTAGCTCATTTTCTAGGCCACACACTATTCAGAGAGTATAAACTACAGGAACTAAAAAGGAAGGAATAAAGAATAAAACAAAGTCTTTCATTATTTCATTACATAATTCTGTTGCCTTCTCATACCTCAAATACTATGTGCAGTTTTGCTTCCTCCAGCTCAGAGATGTAAAGCAAACTTGGAAAGTGTTGGAAGAAAGCACCAGTAGTGACCTAAGACATGGAACAGCCTCCGTGTGTTGTGATCAATCAGGCTAAGACCCTAAAGCATGGAAAACTGATGGCTGAGGGAAGGGATATGTGACAGTAAAATCACAAGCAGCACACAGTGGGTGAACAGTGGGCGAACAGTGACTGACTCTTCTGACTTCTCCATCAGAAGAAATAAGGTTTTGTCTTGAGGGACACAATTAAAACTATGCTACACTTTATAACTTTGAACAGCAACAGCTCTCCAAACCTTTAAAGTGTACTCAGAAGCAGCTGGAAGTCAGTTCTACATATGGTGTTTGGAGAGAATATTTTTAAATGCCCACGCTGATAAAGAAAGTATATATCCCCTGCACAACTAAAGGCTTCAAGTACAGCCCAAGCTCAGTTACACCACAGCAGCCTAAAGAATAGTCCAGGCTTGGAGGGATGCAGCATTACTTGCTGACCTCCTCAAATATGAGGGGGCATCTGAGAACTACAGTCTATTCATAACCAGCAAATGAAAAAAAAAAAAAAAAGGAGAAGAAAAGGAAAGCATTTGGCACACTCATCTGGGTTTTTTTTGTTGTTGTTTGTGGTTTTAACAAAGCACATCTGGCAGAGACTTTTAAAAAATATTTTTGCAATATGATTTTCTTTCAGTAGCTCAATTAATATCTCATAAGAACTCCCCACAGCTTCACTGTCAAAGACTACTGAGATCCATTCCTTGCAATGTGAAAGTCATGCAAAACTGGGAACAAGAGATAAACTTACTGCTTTTTTTTGCATTCAATTGCTCGATCCACACTGAAGTCTGGAAGTCTTATAAATCCTTCTGCTTTTTCAGCCTTCCATAAAAGAAAAATAAAATATCACCACATCAACAAACTGGTAAACTAGTATACTCCAATGGTGAATAATATTTAACATGCAAGTGCTAGTTTTTGACAGCTTTTTATACTGTGAAAATATATGCTCATCACCATGGGGACAGATTAACGCCTGATGAAATATTTCTATACCAGCTATATTTGTGCAAATCCAGGGTGCTGGAAAGCCACCACTCCTCTTGGTACAAGTGGCAGAGCAAAAGCATAGATTATGTTGACTACTAAGGATGAACAAAGGTTATATCATCTGTTCAGGTCTGGATAGCACCTACAATCTCAAAAGTGGGTATGTGCCATGATAAAACACGTCTATCTTACAGAGACATGTAACAGCAGCACATAAAATGACCTATGTATAGCTGAAAAATACAATGCAGAAGTGCCTCAAGATGATTCTAAGTAGAAATAGAGGAGGGTGTCCCCTGTGAAATTGCAGCATGGACCATTTTGCAGGGTCACCTGCACACAAGCAAGGCAGAGGCAATGCAGGCTGCTCCCTTCCCACAAGGTGCAAGAGGATCATCCCACACAGCTGAGTTCTGTGATTAAACACTGCAGACCTGCCTCAGAGGGTTTTGGTCGCCCAGCTATCACTACCCCCAGGAATTTGCAGGCATGGTACAAGAGGTAGCAATATCCAGGCACACATTCACATTTGCATTTACAGTACCCTGTTTATATCCAGTCAGCCCTTTCTGCATGCAAGGAGTTTACTGAGCATTGACGTCTCTGCTCTCAGTCAGCAGGACTCTGAGTCAGAGCTGAAAAACTGAAGTGACAAATCCCTGTTTGTGCTGCCTTAAACTGAAACATCGGAAAAAAAATCTTCCCTACTACATCTATCTACATACACCTGGCCATCTCAAATAGGATTAGGAGTCCTCCTAAGATGAGATGAATATATAATGTAGATAAAAGTCTGTAGGACATAATGTCATGAAAAAACTTACTTTCCAAAACAAAGAGTTTTCATTCCTGAATTACATTTTTGCTGCTCCCAGCCATTGCTAGTAGACACATTAAAATTCTGAAAACGTACACTGAGTTAAAGCAGGTAAAATACACACAACAATTACAAAGGCAGAGGATAAATGAAGATGACTGACATTATATCAAGTCTCATTATGCATGAATATGATCAGACAAAAAGATGTTCATCAAGACAAGCCTTTGAGCTTTAATGCTTAGAAGTACGAATCTCCAAGAACTGAAATATTAATACAGGCTGGTTACTTCAGTGGGTGGCTTCCCTTCACATCTGCATATATGTTCTTTGGTATACAATAACTCATGGCCTAACCATTCATTCCTGTCATTTACATGCATTAAACATTCATGTGAGAAGTTTATATTTCACATCATCACCAATAAATAGTCTTGTTGCTCCAAAACACAGACCTGCAGCATCAGTGGCAGGGGTTTTTCTTATTTTCTTTCAGTACAGGAGAAAAAAATTATTTTTTACATATGGGTGAAAATGTTTCATTTTGTAATATTTGTATGAAAAAGTGTTTATTTGCTATTGTGGGCCTTTAACACTCTCTGATTGTATTTGCATCTGTAAAACTTGTTTAGTGACTAGCTTAAGGAGCTTTTGTTTCTATTCCACAGGTTGGAATTTCATGAGTTTAAAATCATTGAGACAAAATGAAAACTAAACCTAGTATTACCATCCCAGGATAGGGAAGAGCAAATGAGTTCCTTCATTACTGATGAGTAATGAAGGAACACTATTCTTGGGCTGCCCTGTCCTAATGCTAGAGATTGTATTATCCAGCATTTCAGTTCCAAAAAGATAATCACTTACTAGATCTGGAACACCAGAATTCCCATTTAGTTCCCAAGACTAATCTGAGAATACCACGAACCAAACTCAAAAAAGCTGTCCATGAGGTACAACAATCACTATTGCACACAGTGCTGGATGAGAAATGCATGCAATGCCAGTTGCTTCTCTGTAGTAGGAATCCATACTCCCAGTTTAAGAAAAAGTTATCCATGAGACCCTGGGTGAAGAAATATACCCAGGTACCCATGCAGCAATAAATCTGTAGCCTGAGCTGCATAAACCATCAGGTGGGTGAGTGGGTGAGTCGGGTCTGGGACAGGTTTAGCCTTTCTTCCATGTTTTGAATGCAGTTACAGCTCAGCCAATTCTATCAGTGTAGTGACCATTGGTCTACACTGCACCCCATAAACAGTTTAGAGTGCTGCAAAAGCACTCTTGAAGGGATTAAGTCCATGAAATGCCATTAGATAAGTCACTGTTTCTACTATCAATGTATAAAATAATTTGAGTGTTTAGATTTTGTATTGGATTAGTGAATTACCTGTACCCTGTAAGCCAGTGTGGAGACACTCACCTGGAACACTCCCACTCATGTAGAAATGGAACTCGGACTTGCATCACTGACTTAATCCATCAGTAATTTAGATAGATTCCTCTACCTAAATTAGGGGAGTGCCCTCTAAATTACTAATGACTATAGGTCTATAGGCCTTGATTTCAGTACTTTAATTTTAACAATTGTACAACAGAGAAACTCTCAATTTCTTATGCAGTACTTGGCCTGTTTCAGTTAGTCAAAGATTCTGTTCTCACATACACATTCTCTCTCAATGCATTCAAATTTTATACTAATTCTGTGATTTCATATTTGCTCATTTAAAGAAAAATTCATGTTTCGTTTTAGGTATGAGTGAAGTACACTATTTGTACACATCTAAAACATGCCATCTATGTAACAGAAAAGAGGAGTTTGATGGGTATGTAGCTTCATAATTATAACTAAGAAAAGAAAGGAAAAAAGCAAAAAGTCACTAGAATCTTAAGGGTGTTATTTCAGTCAGCAAATAGAATTCCAAATAAATCCTAGGAACAGAACATGTGGAAGTCATCTTTTCAGTCAGTCTCGGGATAAAAAGGACATTTTAAAACATTTAAAGTATATAGAAATCCTAAGTGCTTTCTTTCTTCCAAAATGTTATCTCTAACAGGACTTTAGCATGCTATTATTTAACTCACAAGTTTAATTCAAGATTCCTTCAGATTTTGATGTGAAGCTGTAAAATAGCTCTAAAAAACTCAGATACAAAGAACCTTGACCTATTTTCTACTTAATCAGGATGTTTAAAAGAATAAGCTGTCATAAATCTGTGCTTTTGCTATTCCAAGTTGTACAAAAATAATTTCATTAATAACAACAGTCTCTGAAAAATCTTGTGGCAAAAAAGAAAGTAGCTATTTTTTTCACAGGAAAAGCTTTGCACTCAAAAAAAAAAAAAAAGAAATTATTTATGAAACACAATGCATGAATCCAATGAAAGAGGCTAATGTCCTTTTGAGGTTGCCTCAATATGTTATCTATTAGGAGATTTAATAAGTCATTTAAAGTGAGTGTAGTGTTGCAGCAAGATTTTAAAAGATAGTGCTAGAAAATGAAATATCTTGTTATTGTGGAAGAGCTCCAATCTGCAAATCAGGATAGTCCTCATGGCTTCATCAGAAGATCCTATGGATGTTGGAGGAGCAGTTCAGCATTTCAGTCTTTTTTCCTCTCTGCCAAGTACACCAATGAGGCATCCTATAGAACTGTGAATAATTTGTGTAAGATACTGGGCCATAGGTCCCCAAGCCTCTCAGCTCAATCAGCTGACGTCAATGACTTTTTCTTATCCGCATAAGCAGCTATTACAACTCAAAGGTAAAACATTTTTCTTTTAAAAGACCATAATTATACAGCTTCCAGCAAAGCTGTTGGAGTGAGGACAAATTCAAATGCAGTGAATGAGGGAAAAAAAAGTACAAAGATAAATGGTGACAGTAGATCACAGCCTGCATCTCTTTAATTTTATATTTATATTTCTTTTCAGCTGAATCCCCATGACAACCACTGTTAAGACATTCTACAAAAACCTATTTCAACTCTATTTGGAAAACCAGTCAAGCTACCCTAAAGACCCACCAGACAGAGGCTTTTAGTCCTTTGTCCCATTCCAGTCAACACTATCCAACACAGTCGAAACAAGAACAAAGAGCCAAGAGCCTGGGATTACATGTGACAATCCTCCCCCACCAACCCTCTTCCTATGTAGGAGTATTAATTCCCTCTGGGGTTTCAGTATGAGAATTGAAACAGCTAAAGGGTCAGGCAGGACCACAAACTGTACTATTTAAACACTTGTCTTCAAGGCAGCTGCCTACAGAAAGCAGTAAAAAAAAAAAAAAAACACACACAAAAACAAAAACAAAAAAACAAAAACCAAACACTAATGAAAAGCAGTTTTCCAAGGAGTTCTTCAATGCACCCAGAAAGTCTGACTGCCCAGATATATTTTCAGACATGTCCTGTATTTTCATTGCAAAACCAACCCTCCCATGCTTCCTCCTAATCCAAACAGCTTCCCCTCCCCAGACTGGGAGTGTTTCCATGCTGCAAAGAGAAGTTTACTTGTCTCACATTTTATAGAAAGAAGAAGATTGTGTGGGAAGAGGTTCCAGGGCAGCCTACCCAAGCCTACTGAGACCACTGGGCCCTGACCTCAGCTAGCTCATTGAAAATTTATTCAGGTTTCCTTGTGTTCTCTGGTTTTCTTTCAGTGAAGAAGAAGTTTGACTCTTAGGGTATCTGATCTGCTATTGCCATGTATTAATTTTACTCTTTTGAACTGTGGCATTCAAAAAACATCTTATGTTAAATTGATAGTTTATGTTAAATTGGAGGAAATATCAACTGCAAATGTAACAACAAGCATCCTATATCATGTATCCAAATCTGCCTCTCATGAGAGAGCCAGAACCAGAGTGGCTTGAAGGAAAATTTAACCAGAATGACAGAAACATCCAGAGCTTCAGAGGCACATGAAGACAAACTCGACCAAGAAGGTGATATTCAGATGAGGTTATCTACCCAAATCCAGGATAATGCATGTTCCCATACAAATTCCACCCACTCTCTATTTTCTCCATCTCCATTAGAAAAAAGGTCCAGCACCCTGTTGCTATGCTACAGTTGCCAGTGTCTGGTTTTCTCACAGCCACAAACAAACCAAGCTCATTTCTCACCAGAACCAAAGTGGTCAAGCAGAGCAACAGGCAACCAGTGTGCCCCAGTCCCTTTGATGTCAGCCCCAATCTTTCATCACCACCTTTGGCATCAGCCCCTGTAAAAGGGCTGGTCACAGGGAGCCTCGGGCACGTGAGAAGTAGGACTCCTGTTTCAACAGAACTTTAGACTGTCATCTTGTACAGCCCCTTGGGACCAAGGGTTAACTTTACTGTACACAGTGGAAGTGCAGGCAGTCCTAATGCCAGGCCAGAGACTTGTCAAGAAAGCAAGTGAATTGTATCCCTGATATTTCTCCTTCCTCAATATAGAAGTGAGAATATCTGGGTCTAATTGATCTCACATACAACTTCTGAGCATACCTCTGGTCTCAAGAATTTCAGAGAGCAGGCCTTAGCAAAGAGCACCTCTCCTCCTTTCCAAACCCCACAGCTACTGACATTCTTCAAACACGGCTTGCATCTATAGTTACACAGAGGCTGCACTTTAAGCTGCCCAAAGAAACCTTGAGTTTTAACATAGTGTGTAAGAGTTCACAGAAGTTGAAAGCAAAGAGGTGCTACCAGCTAGCGTGCTTAAAGCACGACCGTGATTGGTGAGAACTCAGGGTTGACACAAGACAACAATATTTTAAAGCCACATTAGCTCTTCAGAGGAAATTAAATAAACTGGAATGAGACTGACACTTATTTTTCAACCTTGTTCTTTTGGAGGCAATCAGTAATAGTCAGGAAGTAGGCATGGGCTAAAAGGGTGAGTGCTGTCTAGGAGCACTGGAACCAGCATGATCATGGTTTCTCTGGATCTCAGGAGTGGAATTTAACAAGGCCAGAACAACTGAAGGAAGTGGAGGAATTTGCACCTCTCCCCCATCACTCTTCCCAGAGGCAAACTTTTCCTGCTCTTGCCTTCTTTATTTCCTCTCATCTTGATTACTCCTTAGGATTATTCCTTTCTGATATTTTCTGTGTCTAAAAAGTCATGTCAGCCAGCCAGCTCATCTTTCTTAAATCTGCTTGGCCAGAAGTACAACTGCAAACACAGATTTATAAAAGCCACTAAGGTTTTGCAAGGTATTAATGCTGCTTATTGGTGTTACTGCCTTGCCATGTCTTTCAAGCAGATATATTGTAATCCTAAGGGAAAAAGTGCATTTTCAAAACTTTTTTTTCCAATATTTCTATTTATTTTCTTTCTATTATGCATGTATATGACATAGTCTTGAAAGGAATCTATATCAGACTAAGACATCATAAAAAACAACAGCCCAAGACTAGTAGAGTTGCTTTCCTTTACCCCAAAAAGAAATAGTTAATATCATCTTGAAGTATCATATAAAGTTTTTATTTGGATTTTAAAAAAGCAAACAAAAAAATTCTCTCTGTCACACACACACAAACAAAAAAACACCCCACAAAAAACCAACACTATACTCACAACTGAAGGGAGAATGTGAAATAGTCTACATGAGTAAAGCTTTGTTTAGGGTATGAGGATTTTTTTAATGGCTTAAACTATTGTATTTTTTTCCCTGAAAAGTTAGCCAAAATTTTGATGGGGATTACTGCAGTGGAAATAAACAAGTGGAAATCATCCAGATTGCCTTTGGTATTTTTTTAAATGCTCTAAGAATTAATAAGGGTTCCTTTAATCTTTCATCCTTTGCTGTGCCTGTGACATGCTGATTTCCAGAGCAGTTGCTTTACATTTAAGTAACCTCATGCCCATCCACAATTCAACACTGAAGCTGTTGAGTTTCACTATGTTTTTGCTGTCATACCCTAATTCTCTTCACACCCTAATCCTTAGATCTGTCACTCCATCATTTGAATGTGATAAGAGCTTTTTAGAGGTAGCAGTGCCAGACAGCAAAGTAAAGGGAATAACTGTATCTGAATCTTCCTAAGATGGGCAACACACCCTCTCTGCCCCTTTAAACAAGCACAAAGTAAAGCAGCTGCTCTCTACTATCTGGAAAAAAAAAAAAAAAAAAAAAAAAAAAAAAGGACAAAAAAATTTAAATTTAAATAGGGAAAAAAAAAAAACAAAACCAGAAAAAAGAAAAAGAAAAAGAAAAAGAAACCAAACTGACAAACAGAATAATCTCAGTGGGGAAGGGGATGGAAAGAGAAATAGGAGAGACATTTCTGAAAATTAATAAGTGAGGAAGCATTCCTGTTTTAAGTTTTGACAAGAAGTGTTTGCAAATTGCCTATACCCAGCAAAACATTTCTCAAATTCAAATGCCACCTTTAAAGAATAGCTCTTTACAGGGCAAAACAGACAGCAAGTTAACATTTCACAAGTACCTGCTGAACTAGAAAACACATAGTTTTCTGCATATTTCAAATTCATATAGACACTTCCCAGATCACATATGTGTCAGGACTGAGAAATAAACCCAGTTACTTGTACTCCTCCAGGGTGCACCTAAATTGTGACCCCAGGTTCCCCTCTCTCAGTCCCAGCAGACACTGATTGTCTGGCACCCAGAGCTGGCTGTACACTGTACTCACCAGCTGACTGCTGTACCAATACAGCGATGACTCCTTTAGCACACACCAGAACTTTTTCCATTTGTTGCCAATGAAAGCGCCTTTTTCCTTCTTTTTGTAGAGCCATCCTTGGCAATCGGCTTGCCCCAGCTCTTTGCACGATATCCTCCGTCGGCTCATTATAAAGAACCCTGTGCCATTAAAAATACAGTGTTGTGCTTGCTTAAAACTGCACTACCAGGAAAGATGTTGCTGCCAATTAAGGATATCATCCTTACTTAGGAATCTCAGCAAGTCATCGAAGCATATCTTAAAATATACTTAGAAGCCATTCAGTTTTATAATGGCTGTGACAGTAACACACATTCATTTGAAAGGCTTGCTGATGTTCAGAAATTAAACAGCAAGCTATAGATAATGCAGATACTAATTAATGCTAAGATAACCATACATGAGTTTTTGTAAATTAAAAATACAGCCTTTGATCCTTTTAAGAGAAGCATGCATGTAGTTTCCCTCACACAGCTGCACTGAAAAGGATACATCTCTTTAATCTTTAAGTCAGCTAGAGAAAACTATTATGCCAAGTACATGAAAACCACCAGCATGTATGTCTGTGCAGGCAGCTGATTCTACCTCACTGATTTCCAGCTTTGATTCAATTAACATACCACAAGGATTTAGTCCAAAGGAACAGCCCGTTGTCATTTTTCTCAGAATCGGTGTAAGAATCAGTGGAGTTAAAAAGCAGCTTTTTACCAGATGAGTAGCAGTACAAAATCCTCACCCTCCCAAGAATAAGACATACTAAGAAAATAACAAAAGAGGAATCCAGGAGGGAAAAGAAAAAACAATCTCTCATTACCTTGACTTTTCTTTTTTGCCTTCTGACGCAAAGGAACCTGTAAGAAATGCAGGAAGGAAAGAAAAGAGGAAATTTCAGATTGTGTTGCAACATTTGTGTAGAAAGGGGAGGGGGAAGCTAGAGAAGGACGTGGTGGTGATGCTGGTGGTATATGCAGGATGGAAACACATAACCCACTCACTGCTGAAGGGATGCTAGCAGCTGAAGCAAAAAACGTGTTAATTAAAATTGATGTATATCTAGTTGAGCAAGAGCAAACACGTGTCTATCTACTACTGTTTCCTGTTTCACATCCACAGACAGCTTCTACTTTGCTGTGTTTGCCCAAATGGTATTCTGTATTTTGAAGTTAAAAAATAGAAGCTAAAACTCCAGCATTTTAATGGTTCATTAGGCTCCACAAGGAGGATTTACAAACATGGGGAGATTAAAATACATGCCAGATGACTGATAGTCATTTAACTCATTCTAAGAAATCCTGAAAAAGAAAAAAAATTATCTTCATCTTTTTCTTTTTATTTAATGCAGAACATGTATTTTTCCCCTATTAAACAGTTTAATAATATTTCTTAAGGAAAATAAAATCACACAAAATATATGGAAATTTTAGTCACTGCAAAAATAACACAACTGAATTTATGCATTTGCAGTCTACATATTTAATCCTGCATAAACATGTAGAAAATGAAACTAAAAGAGAAGACCACAGAACAAAAAAGGAGGCAATTGAAAATGGAAGGTATGGTTTTTGGAGTAAATTCTCCTCAGGCAGGCTGGTTGGTTGTATGATTGCAGACAAAGTACTTGACTTCTCTTTGCCTCAACCTTTCCTTCTCTAGTGTGGGAACTAAACGATTCACTTTTTTCTATTTTTAGGAAGGGTTTGAAGCCCCCAGATGACAAATGCTGCATAAAGGGATGCATGATTTAATATGCTGGCCACAATGTTGCTATGCAAAGCCGCTAGCTACCTGATCCGCTGCAGAGCTACGCTCCGAACATCCCTAATGTAGCCCCTCCGCCTCATCAGACAGGAAAACAAAACCCCATTTCATATCCCTCTTGAAAAATCTGATGGCTCTTCTCACAAATTAAAGGTGAGTAAAGCTAGACCATCTGCAAACAATGATAGAAGAGCCCACTGTCACCAGTGTTTACAAGAGCGACAACTTTCTGAAGCAGGGATCTCTGCAGCGTGTACCAGAGAGCACAGAGCTGTGTCTTGCAGTCCTGTGCTTATCTGGTGCCTGTTTGACATGACCTGAACAACACTCTTGTGGGAGGCTTTACCAGACATGAAGAATCCCAGACTCCCACTTAATTACTGAGTATTCTTTTTCCTTTTTCCCTTATTGTTTTATTTTTTTAATTCTACCACTGCCTCTCTCTCTCAAACTATTCTCCATGACAACACACAAAGAAAAGCAAAAAGAAAACACATTAGCTCTATTAGAGATTCTGCTATTTCCCCATCTTTTTCATGTCTTCATTCCAAAGAAACTTATGCCCTATTTAGGACACATGGAAATAATGTATGGCCTCAGGGAATCAGTGGGTCACACAAACTAATTGCCTTCCTTCAGAGCTATCCAAAATTATATTAAGAAAAACAAATATGAATCAGGTCTCCTGCCCCAAAAACTATGTAGCAAAGCGACATCATATCTTTGCCATGGCACTATATTGGGGTCATTTCATCTCTAACCAATATGAAGTCATAAAAAAGAAGAGCGATACTGAGACAGGATGTGGCTCTTTCTACACAATTGAGGAGGAAGCAATCTTTCCACTAACCATGCTGATGATCTAAAGAAAAATAGCAGGGTCTATTGCTCATGTGCCAGGAAGAGCTAATGCCCATGTTATGTAAGACATCCGTTGGGGCCCACTTTATATCAGACTGAGGCAAAAACTGATCACCTAGTAAGAGCCTGGGCTAGCTAAAATAATTTACAAAATTATGTGTATTAACCTGTAGCAATGATGGCATCCTGCTGCAAGTCAATAGGGGTGATGAACCAATCGTCTCTTCTCTATATTGTGGGAGGAGTTGGGAAATTAATGGTGGAAGGAAGAGCAGTTTCTCTACAGCCAGGACTGTATTTAGTGTGTCTGGATAAAATCAGTAGTAAATCTCTAATGAAATAACTGATTAATGATTTTTTTAAATTAAGATACATTTCTCATTATCTTTCCAAGTATTCCTGAAAACCGAGGCAGATTTTTAAGAAATTAGCACTAAGCCTGAAATTCTGCAACTTCTGGTTGTGTTTTACTGCTGTTCAGAAACCCAGCTTCATCCTATAAAAAAAAATGTGTGCTGCTCCACACAAGAGAAAGCTCCTCTCCCCAAATGCAGCAATAAAATGCAGCATGATTCACAAAATTGCCTTCTCAAATTTTGTTGATCTATAAACAAATAAAAAAAACCCTCTTTCTCCAAAGCACAGTGTTTAGAGTCAGATAGATGCTTTATGAAATAAACAAACAGTTTTCAGTAAAGCTGTTTTCATCTTAAACCAATAGAAAACTTCTATTTAAATTAATATACCACAAAATTCATTAAATGCCTCACCAGCACAGTTTGGATTCAATTGTCCATGAGAATACAACACATTAGCAAGTCTCCAGTGGCAAACCTTTTTTCAAGAAGTGAATTAAAGTTTCCTTCACTGAAAACTCTTTTATAAAAAAGTCAATCATCTTTTATATCAGTGGGCCCGAGTGAACATTGATTAAGAGACACTTTTAAGTTTCACTCTTCTAGAGACTCTTACCAGTGCAGAACGAAAAGAAAACTGTGGAAGGCAGAGTTATTACCAACAAAATGAAGGGTATAGCAGCAGTTTCAGATGTGGATGTACTGTAACTACCAGACATAGCCACTGGAACAATCTGAAACTAAACCAAATGTCATGATTTTGCTTTTAACAATGGTGGATATTTTTCTATAATTTTCAATTTCTTAATGGGAAGTGATTTATTTATCACACATTCACCTGTAAAACAAGCCAAGAACATCAGATGTATTTCTATTTCTTCTTACCAAAGGAAATCTGAGAGCAATAGCTCTCAGAAAGATCTGGGGTAACTGCAAAACATACACTTTTGTGCAAGACTGGTGATAGAGAGTAGGTTTAATTATTTTGGTAGTCTTTGGTTTGCTAAGGACTGAACAGGATGGGCTAGTGACCCTGCAGAACAACACAGACTTCAAACTTGCTATCTATTACTCCTCCACTTGGCAAACACACCATGAGTGAGTTGCAAAGGAACCTATACAACTGTGCATTGTTCATTGCCACTTCTGTGCCAGGCAGGCCCCAGCAATGAGCAAAAACATATGAGAGAAGTGACAGCTTCAGTAGAGGCTTCTGTCAGTCCAGATGTCCTTTTTTTTCCACAGAATCACAGTATGATTAAGACTGAAGGGACTTCAGGAGGTCATCTAAGTCCACTCTCCACCTGCAACTGGTTTTCCAGGATGGTTTCCAGATGGCTTTTTCATTTCACCAAGCATGGAGACACCCCACTTTCTCTGGGCAACCTGTGACACCACCCAGTCATCCTCACAGTAAAAATGGTTTCCTGAGCTTCAGAGGGAACCTCCTGTGTTTTAGTCTGTGTGCATCACGTCTAGTCCTGTCATCGGGCACCACTGAAAAGAATTATAGAATTGTTAAGGTTGTAATAGACCTTTAAAATCGTCAAGGCCAAGCATCAACTTAGTACCACCACCATGTTGGCTATTAAACCATGTCCTCTTCTTTGCATCCTCCCTTCAGGTATTTATGCACATAGGTAAGAGCCTCCCTGAGCCTGTTTTCCAAGCTAAACTGCCCCAGTTCACTTAGTCTTTCCTCATATCTTAGATGCTACATTCTAATTATTCTTCTGGCCCTTCATTGGGCCTCTTCAGTGTATCAGGTGTCTCTTATATTGAGAAGTCATTCCAGGAGTGGCCACAGCACAACTGAATAAATTATGACCTCCCCTGACCTGCTGGCAATACTTTGTCTGATGGAGCCAAAGATACCATTTACCTTCTTTGCAGCATGGGCACATTGTTGGCTCATGATGTCCACCAAGATTCCCAGTCCGTTCTCTGCCACTTTCCAGCTCTACGGCCTCCAGCACGCACTGGTTTCCCCTAGCAGTACCATTTTTGCTCAAATGGAGCAACAACAGGGGATAAAAGTCAGAATCTGGACAGGCTTTATCAGTCTCTGCACAACATCCTGGATCCTGGCCCCTCCCAGGAAGCAAACACCTCTGGATGGTTGGTCAGGCCTACAGATGGGTCCTTTGTCCCTTGCAGTAGGGAGTCACACACTGCAGGGTCTCACCTTTTCTTCCTGGTAGACCTGCATGGTTTACAGTCAAGTGACTGTAAATCTGGCTCCTCTTCAATTATGAGGACAGTCAACCCATTCTTAGATGATGTGGGAACTTCCTCTTTATTCATCAAGTCATCAACTTCCATCCTTCCAACTCTCCAAAGGTTGTTCTTACTTTGATAGAGCACATAGACACTGCCTGCTCTCCATTGCAGGTGGGGACTGGTGGTCTTCACTCTGTTGTGTCTCAGAGAAAACCCCATCTCTCTCCCTTCCACTTTCTCTGGTACTGCACAGTTTGCACACTTCCTCCCGAACCTCCTCCACTTCCCAGAACAGCTCCTCCAAGATGGCCTGCAGGGCTGAGAGACATCATCCTTGGCCTCAGGGAGAGGTTCCTGAAATCCCCTGAAGTCTGGGACTTGGAGAGCTGCAGCCAATCTGTGTGGAAACCTCTGCCCTAGGAATGACAGCTTCTGGGGAAGCTGCCCTGTTACCACCATGTCTAAGACTGCTACAGCACCACAGTTTCAATGGAGGCCCCCTTATTTCACTCCTTCTTCACACCCAGCTGCACAAACTGATGTCTCTGTTGGCTGCTATCTGGGCAGATCCCTCCCAAGCACCAGTTAAAGGACCCTTGACCCTTCCTAGTCAGAGGCAGCTGCATCAAAGACTCCAGGAGTGCTGGGTGAGGCACAGCCTGCAAACGCCTCAAGAATAAAAATGGGGTGAAATAGGTACATAAGGCTGTTTCAGGGGAAAGAGAAAAATAAAGTCTACATGGAAAAGCAGGGGCATTGGGCTAATACTAAAAAACAGGCTTCATGTCTCATGAAGTTTGACTCACAATGAATGAGTCTGAGAAAGCACCAAAGGCAGCTGTGATCAATGGTTATATTCTACAGCGCTGTATTTTCTTTAATCTTCCCAAGTGTTACACTGTGTGGCTAATAAATCCTTTGCTAAGCTCATGTATCTTAGGTTAAAATTACCTCATGCATTGAGGGGGAGGATTTGGAAGTGAGGGCATCCCTAGCATCAGGCACATGCAGCAGATTTCATTTTATCTTTATAGCAGAACTGGGGAAACCCCTCCACTTGGGCTGGCCCACAAGAAAGATGCTTTTCACATGTGCTGTTCTTTTATGCTGTCCATGGTCTTTGTGGCTACAAGGATATAATCCCAACATATGACCTCTTCAGATGATAAATAACTCTGGCATAGCTTCAATCATACTTACAAGAATATTGCCATCAGCTTCCATGAATGGTTTCAAAGCTCAATGGAAAAGCTGTTAAAAGAGAAAAGTTTGTGTACTTAAGCTCTGTATTGCATTTTCATATAACATAAGTCTTGACAGTAAACAAATGTTTTCAAACATTTTGTCCTGCTAACTCTACCCTCTGACTTCTCCCAATCCCTAAAAAAAAAAATTTCAGAGACAATCCTATGTTATGTGAACTAATTTTACTGATTTAGAAATCAATAAGCAGTAAGTAACATTAACTCAAAAGTATCCAAGCTTATTTTTATGAAATAAACAGAACAAAGCTCATGGATGTGGCCAGAGGGTTGCTTTTTGCTTGGTTGTGATAGGTTTTTGAGTTAGCTAGGATTGGAGGGTTTTGGGGTTTTAGGAGGAAATGCAATAGAGAGAATAAATAAATAAAATTGGGAGTGGTTTTTTTTTTTTGTTGTTGTTGTTGTTCGTTTTGGTCTTTAGTCTGAAAGAAATCTATAGCATTTGGGTTCCTGCTTTGGGTGAGTAATTCCCAGCATTTTCTGGGAATAAAACTTAAATAACCTTCTGGTTCTCCTAAATGGGATGAGACCTCAAACCATACTACTCATTTTATAATGGGTTGAAATTTTCCTTTCTGGAGACCAAAATCTGTGCATGCCAACAGCAGACACTGGATTTGCCAGACACGAAGTCAGTAGATATCCATTTAGGTGGCAGATGAGGTGATTTCATTTGGTAAACACAAGCACTTTTCAGCTCCCTGCATGATTTTCCTTTGGTTGGTAGAATGGGCAGATGATGAATCAGTGCAGTGTACAAGATGAATGAAAACATACCAATGTTTTAGTGCCAGCAAAGTTCCTATAAAACTCACCCCTCTGCATGTGAAAGAATCAAGGAGGAAAATGGAAGAGGATACAAAACTTGGCTGAAGCAAGCAAGAAAGGATTTCCAGAAATAAAGCCACACTTCAGAAGAATTTCTAACAAGAACATTTTCCTGTTACTAGAACCAGTTATTTAAGATATGTGCCACTCCTCATACATAATATTTGTCTTTGTTTGAAAATAAATTCTTTAAAAAGAAAATAAAAACCCACCTACTGGCTTCCAGCAATTTCAAACCAAAAATAGAAAGGCAAACAAATACATATTTTTCTGGCTCCCAGCCATTTCTCTTCAAAAGTAGAAAGAAGCACTTTCTATAAGTAGCTCAAGTTGAAGTAATATCATGATGAGGAGAGATGTTATGGCCAATAATTTCAAGGATGTTTAGAAATCATAGCTAGTACAAACAAGCAGAGGAAACACCTTGAGTTATACAAGTAAATTAACAGTGATCCTCAAATACGGAGCAAGAAGGAAAGGGAATAACAGACCATATCACAGTAATTATTGTGATGTGGCCTTTTTCCTGTCATTTCTTAATTTCATGGGTGCCTTGGGTTTGGGGAGGAACTGCACAGCTTTGAATCACACAGTCCCAGGAGCAAGGGGAGAAGCATTAGTTAAATGGCAAGGCAATGTTTCTCCTGTGTGCTTTGTGCCAAAGGAGTTGAAATGGATTTCAGCTAACCCTTCTCGGTGACTTTAACTCAAACATTAGTTTAGTTTCCAGAAACTGAATAAGAAATTTTGAGCCAGCACCCAGTGTTCAAAACCAGCATTGACTTCTGTCCCATTCTAGTTAACATAATTTATTGCTCCCTGTGTCATGAAAGATACTTAAAAAATCACAGTCACTGCAGAAATAACTCTTAGACACTTAACCTGTGTTTCTCCTAAGAAAGCCCAACCTGAGTGAGATTAGTTACTCTGTGAAAAGGCGTTAGGTTATTTTTATCCACTCAAGTGTACTCAACTGTTTCAAAACTAACATTTCAGAAGGGCATAACCTTCTTATCTCTGCAGTAGAGCAAAATAAGGGATTCCTTTCAATTTTGTGCAGGTGTACTGTGGGAAAACTATCTAAACAGTCAGGTGAATTAGGAGAAGGAGCTGGATAAATGTGGCCACTCAAATAGAGCCAATCAATGTCCACACTACTGGATGGCCCAGCATGACTCTGCAGGGGCTGGCTCTGGGAACCCAGCCCCCTGCCCCTCAATAAGCCCCTCACACCGGCTGCAGCTGGGATCTGATGGTGGGCAGTGCCCCCACTTTTCCCTCTGTGTGCTGGCAGTGGTCACACCACGGCAGTCCAGGGCCATGCTCAGGGCTGGCAGCTTGGCCAACAGAAAGGCTTCCCAGGCCATGAAGGCTCCACCTGAGCTCAGGAGCTCTGCAAGTCAGTGGGAGGTTAGTAAGAGACAAGCCTTCAGTTCACATCATCAGGAAGGTGTCCTGACTCCGAGCTGCAATGGCTGCAGCAGGAGAAGACTCGGCCCATTTCACAGCACTCACAGTGCGGTGTTACAACCTGAAGACCTGTGTGTATCCTTGTCCTGACATAGGTGGACATGGAACTTGAAGAGGGGTGTCACCCCGAAAGGTGGGTGTGGGATTCTAGCCCTCTCCTAAAACTCTCCACTTGCAACAAGATAAATTCTAGGAACAGAAGGAGAGGAAAACCCTCCAGCCTATGGATTAAGGTACCCACATGGAATACTTGCAACAGGATTGCCGTCTGCTGTAATGGATGCTCAATTTGCTAAAATTAAAAGGTGGCATAAATCAAAGAGAGAAAATTAAACACGGTAAACCCCCTCTCATTTCAGATGGCTTCAGAAACAGTAAAACAAACTTGAATCTCTCATTTTCTGGAGGCTAAACTGCAATTGATGTACTCAATAAAAGCAAAGGGGATGGATTTATATTATCAGTTTGTAAACCATATCTATATTTCTTTGGCTTTCTAGGAGTTATCTGAACCACCTGATTTCACTTCAATCTGAATTAAATACAATGTCAAATGTGGTTTCAGTTACAAGATTTCTAAATCAAGTTCTTGAGGGCTCTTTTTATTTTGATTTAACAACTGAACATTAATTATTGGAGTGCATAGTTTTATTAGTCTCACTTCACCCTTGCTTTTTCAAGAAGAGTAATAAACAAGTACCTATGTGAGCAATAAGCTCGTGCAAAAAACATGGAAACGTGACAGGTGTCTTAGGAGAAATATCTTACAATAATAGATAGAGGTAGTCTATTTGACTCATCATTTCTCCTAAAGTATATAGAAATATTTCTATAAAGAACAAATGTCATTTGAAAGGGTGGGAAAGGGGGGACAAAAAGAGAACACTGAGGTTCTAATGACTCTAATTGCAAAAATCAATCTTAATTCATTAGTAATATTCCTCTTGGGAAAATCAAAATCCACAAGGCCTTATGCTGTCTCTTGCCAATTACAAGCTACAGTGAGTATGTCAATCTGCGATGATCATGGCATAAGCCTGCCAGACATGCCTTCCAGTCATCTCTCAGATGACATTCCAAATGGACATATGCCTTCCTGCTTCTGAGCAAAATATTTGATATATGCAACATGACTCAGACTATTTGTGTCACAGAAGCACCCAAAATGTGCATAGCTAAGTTCCTGTTCAGTGGCATCAACACAGACTACTCCAAAAGAAAATTTCTGTTTTACCAAGCACCAAGCCAGGGCTGTAGACAACCTGGAAAATAAGCTCTGAGCCTTCTGTTAACACTGCTCACACTGGTCACAGCTGTAACCCCTGTGCTTGTTTTCTGTTCATTTGGCTGCCTGCCACAATCTGCACTTCAATGGGCAATGAATTGACAGGTGATATGAAACGAGTGAGAGTGGTACAAAAGTTGCCCCCTGAAAATCAATGATTACTTAATCACAAATTTCACCAGACATTAGGAGTAACATTGCCCCAATTTACAGCAGCGCTTGAAGCACTGTCCTGTGGCAAGGAGACAGCCTTACATAATAGTCCTAAATTATCACCTTACTCCTAACTGGGGTTCTTGCAACAATGCAGGGGGAAAATGATCACAGTGTTTGCAAGCTCTTAATTGTCCTTAGGCTTACTAGAGATCAATTTAATCTGACAGAACCTTACCATTAACCACAAATTAGGCAGCTCTAGTCAGGTACTTAACTGGTTAATCAGCTAAATTGACTGTCTAACTTGTACAAGGAGTTTCTTGGCCTGCAGATTTTCTCTCACATACAGGTTCACCAGGGAAGATAGATATTAAGGTGGTACTTTGCCTCAGGGCAATGACAAATAGACACTAAGGTAATTTTCACAAAATTCATGGACCTGTTCCCATCCTGGATAAGGTTGCCCCACCCACTTTGGTCCCCATGACCTCATGTTTCTAATTACAGATGAAACTACAGATTCACCATTGGCATCAGAAAGAGCAAGTCTATGAAAATATAGTCAGAAGACATAATTTTTAGAGTATACATTCAGCTTTGCCCACAATGGAACCTTTTGAATAAGCGTTACACTTTGAAAAGACCAAAGGGCTCTTTTCATAGGCTTAGCAGCAAGAAGCTGCATTTTTTCATATCTAATATAGTTATATTTTATAACACCATTAGTTATAACATTGTTTTCAAATGCATTTGGAATTACTCCATCCCCTTATGTGAAAGCGATTCAAAAAGATGACTTCTGACTCTGTTTGGGAGAAGGCCAGGAAAAACTGGAACAAAGTTCACTGCTCCTGTGTTGGAGACAGAAAGGGTTTGGAGACATCGCCCTGCTTGGATCATGGCCAGGTCCTATCAGCCCAGCTGGGAAGCCCAAGGGCAGCAGGTTATATGTGCTGACAGCTCTGAGCAAGCAGTTGCAGGAGTCAGTGCTCTCTGCCTTCAGGAGAAGAGGGGCTGGAAAGAAAGAGGAAGCTCAGCAAAAGGAAGACGCACTCCAGCTGCCTCTATGGCCTCACAGACTAAAATGAGAAAGCAAAATGGCATGCTTAATGAAGTGTGTCTGCCCCACATTCCTTGTAGTGTTGAACTAACTCCTCCTAGTGCTGCTGTGCTTGAAGGCCAAGGAAGAGTTTGCAGAAAAGTTGAGTGCAATGCTTCAATTTCTACGGCCTCCTAACTGGCTTTTTGGTTTTGCTGTGGCAGACAATGAAAGCAGGCAAAGTTAATCTCTCTGCAAAACTGGATGAAGAGTTAGTGCACTGAAAGGGTAAGGGAACACTCCAGGGATAAAGAAGCATTTCCCTGATGTTCTGCTCTCCTCTGAAGA